AGAATACCTGTGCCAAGGCAGGATTCCTCAAGGTGAGCTTCCAGGCCCCCAGAACTCCAGAGGCTGTAAGCAATGTTGGCCCCATGGCTGAGAGATACTGACAGTCCTGTTACCTGTGTCTCAGGATGGCAGCTATATGCTAGGGACATTCCCTGGCCTTTACATGGATTGTCGTGTGGTGTATGTGAGTGGGGCAAATGACAAAACTTGCTGCCGTCGGTAACTTCTACCATCTGACCTTGGGAACGAATGGAATCGGGTCATCAGGCTTGGTGGCAGACACTTTCACCAGCTGAGCTATCTTGCTGTTTTGTGTTTTTTCCCTGGTCTTTGTGGTGTTTCAGTCCCCGAGGAAGCAGTGTGGTCTGGAAAGGTAGTTGTGACCAGAATAGGCAGCCTGGCTCATTGGAGAATTAGCCTGCCTTCATCTTCACGCTCAATTGCTCGGGCCTGGGTTCAGTGATGCTACCAGCTGACCCAGATACCCAGGGTCAGGAAGCCTTGCCAGGCTCTCCTTGGCCTCTAGCTCCCTGGGATGTCTTTAATCCACAAGTTTCATAAGCTTCTTCATGGGACCCCCATCTGTCCTTTTCTGAAGGTCTTCTATGGATAAATCTAGGGTTACCTCGAGATAGGCACCCCAGCTTCCTCTCTGTTGGGGGACTCGTTTGACCTCCAAAGTCAGTGCCCTTTAAGGCACACATCATGCTGCTGTCACTGATTCTGCTGTGGGGTGCCAGAGACAGAATGGGGACCCTTCCTCTGCCTCCAGAACTCATGGAGTGATGAGCTTAGCTTGGTGACCTCCAGCTCTCTAGAGGTAGGGCCAGAACCCAAGAAGGCAAGAGGTGGCAGGGTTTACAATTTGTATAGCCCCAGGGGTTGACTGAGGAGAACATTTGCATTTGAGCAAGCAGTGGGAGAAAGAACACCATCTGTATGAGTCAGGCTCAGGTCTTTTCTGGAAACTTCTTGTGACCTGGTGAGGAGAGCTCAAAATCTGGTTGGCAGGCAGCAGGGTGTGTGCATGGTGGAAACGAGTTGTTTTGTTGATGGAATGGCAGTGTCTGTATTGGAGCCACCTGTGCGCTCTCCTGGATTTCCTAACAATGTGGCCTTCCAGGACAGGCCCTGCTGCACTCTGCAGGGGCCAGGCTTTCCTGCATCAGGAATCAACTTCCCTAATGATATCCATTCATGCCCACAGGCCTGGCGTTGCCTGAGCTGAGCAGGGGTGGGGGGTGGGGCATACAGAGCCCCACTCTCTTCATCTCTCCTTTCTCGTGGGTTCCAGAAGCTGGGGCAGCTCAGGCAGGCAGCACTTAACCTCACCTCCACCCACCACATGCAGCACGGGAGCCAAGTGATTACTGGTTAAAACCAGTCTTCCCCACTATGGCCAGCAGGCTCGAGCATCACGTAATGGAAATCTAGGTGATTTCTTATGTGAACATCACAGTAATGTCTACAGACAGCATTGTCACCAGACAAGACGACATTATGGGATGGGGGATATGGTGGGACTGTGGTTAGGTTTTTGTTAGATTCTTCAACTGCCCCCAGCAGAAGGCTGGGGTACCAGGTGTGGGTGGAGGGCTCTGGGATTGTGTGAGTCCTGCCAAGAGGACTCTAGGCTCCATACAGAATTAATCAATCTTCTAAATGGAAATGTCAAGGCCCAGCAAACATTTTTGCTAATGATTCTGGTGATGAGGTACGCAGGGGCAGCAAACAGTCGGCCACATGGAAATGGATTTTGCCTGTCACTCGGGAGGAAGCCAATGGCCTCCCCTCAGGGCTGCTCATGCTAAGCTTCCCTTCATTGGATTAGTTCCAAGCAAGGGAAGATAGCTCAGTGCAGGCACCCAGGAAAGCAGGCCTGGGTAGCTTTAGGAGAGGGTTCCAAAAACAAGCGTGGACAGTGCCTCTTGGAGCAGAAAAAACAAACAAACAAACAAACAAAAAAACAAAAAACCACGGGTTGTGGAGAAGGGAAAGGAGGACCTGCCTCAACAATGGGGCACAGCAAAGGCCATGTCCCCCACTTGCTGTAGGAAGTGGGAACTGTTACAGACGGGACAAATGTCCCTAAGCTGAAAGCCGTAAATCTGAAATGTTCCAAAACTTAAAAGTTGTCACCAGTGGAAGACTCCAGGCCTGATCACATGTGACAGGCCACACTTGGCGTGTGGTTACCTTCCAACTGCAGGTATGTGCATTTGAAACATACATGTGGATTTTATGTTTAGACTTGGGTCCCGCCCATCGATATCTATGTATATGTAAACAATGAGAAAACTGAGAACCTGAGCCTTGAAAAAACTTCTGACCCCATGCATTTCTGGGTAAGAACAACAGTATACCAACTGCTGGCATTGGAATGGACCAGATGGGATCAGAGTGCTTGGGTTGCCAAACCTGTATCCCCTGGTGACACACCTCAGAAGTTCACCCCTAGTCCCATTGTGATTACAACACAGCAACAAGTCCACACAGATACCTGTGATGGCAGAGCCAGCCAAGAAAGCCGTAGATGTCACCTAGTACCTACGACAGTCATGGGACCTGGGGTAGAGCTCACAGGTGCACAAGGACACAAAAGGGGTTTTGGTGGAAGTGTAGCTCAGTTGGTAGGATGCATACCAGAGCCTCACAGGCATGATGAGGGGTGCCTGTGAGCTCGGCACTTGGTAGGTGGAGGCAGGAGGATTTTGATGTCATTTTCAACTAGCAAGTCTGAGGTCAACCTGGTCTACACGAGGCACTGTCTCTGGGGTTTCGTTGTAAAATGCAAAAGGGGGAAGTTCCCATGTATTTTCTATGTTTTAAGTTCATTTAGAAATAATAGATTCACATGAAGCTTAAAACTCTTGAGTCCTGTGACCCCCTTCTTCATTTCCCACTAGTGGTGAAACTTTATATAACTGTGTTATTGACAGGAAATTGATAGTTAATCCACAGATGTTACCCAGTTTATTTATTAACCAGTTCTGGGCTTTGATGCCAGGTAATTCACATACAAGTTCAAGCAACCACTACCTCAAGATTATAGTTTCTAAAATCCAAACAAACAAAACACAAAGGGGCCCCTGGCACCACCTGTTGGCGGTCCCAGCTCTCCTTCATAGCCCCTGGCCATCACTAGTGTGTTGTCTCTTGTTATAGCGCCCCTCAATTTTTTGACAGTTGAGTCTGAAACCTTCTCTAGCTGGCTAACCCATCCGAGTGTTTCTTCTTGAGAGCAATCACCCATCATTTTACTGAGTTTAATCTGGAGGTGGCAGCATGGGGGCTGGCTGTATGGGCAGAACCTTCAAATTGTGGCCACTGGGCTCTGTCCCTTGTCTATCAAATGGTGATAATGGATTTAGGACGGTTGCAACAGCTGATGAAGAATTCACGTCATTCATTTGCTGTTGGCAATCACCACCCAAGCTATTTCTTCATGATTTTAAGTATTTCGGAGGGTGGAAACCGAGTTTTCCTGCTAGTCTTCTGGACTGGAAGAGTGTTAGGACAGTTCAGTAAAGCAGTCTCAAGGCTGTGGCTCATGATGTGACAATGAGGTCACCATAGTCTGTTGTTCTGGGACTATTTGCTCCTCTCTAGGTTCCTTTAGCTGGGAAGGTTGTTAAGTGGACTGAGTGGCGAGACTAAGGGACCCTGAGGAGACCCTGCAGAAGGTGAGCCTGGCAGTTTACATAGGGAGGTGCTGTCCCTGCAGGAAGAGCTGCTTTTTGTTTTTGGAAAACAAGTGGATCCCATGTTTCTTGGGTGTGAGTTTTGGGCAAATCACTGTTCTCCTGGATAAGATTGTCGTGGCTCCTGCCTGGGTTTCATTTCCTTTGCAAAATCAGAGTCCTATCCTTGTTAGGGCCTCTTTGTCCCTGTGTAGTCTTTCTTGAGCCTTCAAACATGCAGTCCTGGCCCGACCCTTGCAAGTGAGTCTGGGCTGGCTATTTGGCTTTCCTGCCTTGATTCCTCAGCGAAGGGTCCACAGGGGCTGATGGCCGGTGTGGGTGTGTTTGTGACGCTTGGCCTGCAGCTGGTCTTCCTTTGGTAGCAGTGGCTTTCACCAGTGCACCATGCATCTGTTCTCAGCCTGTCATTAGTCTGTATGTTTGTCGTTGAGTTAGGTATGATCGTGCATGCCTATAATCCTAGCAACCCGGAGGCTGAGACAGACCAGTGTCAAGGCCAGTCTGGGCTCCTTGAGACTGTTCAAAAAGCCAAACAAGACACATATATACACAATCCAAAGCTATGCCCTCCCCATAAAAACATCACACACGGTTTTTACTTCACTTAACCGTTGCTTAAACAGGCGACAGTTCCTCTAAGTTACCTTGTCTTAACAACCTCAATGCTCCTAAAAATCCAATTTATTTCTTCCCTGTAGTTTCTTTCCTAGATTTATTTTTTGAGAATAATCATTTCATTTAGCCAATTTTGGAGCTTCAGGCATTCTGTCAAGCTTGAGTGAAACGGATCAAACCCCCCCCGCTTTTCTGAGACAGGATCTCACTAACTAGCACTGGCTGGCCTTGGATTGGAAAGGCCCGACTGGGACTGCCTCTGCTTTCCCAGTCCTGATATCAAAAGTGTGTGTCCCCATACCTGATTGCAAACAAAAGAATTTCTTACATACGGGAGCCTCTCATGGTTGAGTGTGTGAATGTGCAGACATCACAGTTGACTAAGTCCCCACGATTGTAAACGCCTGTGGTAGTCAACTTTCGGTTGTGGTGTGGGGCATGTGCATTGCTAAGGCACAGGGGGAAAGCGTGTGTGCATGTGTGTGTGCACGCACGCGCGCACCAGCTTGTTGAGTACAAGGCCTTCAAAAGACCAACACCAGGAGGCAGACAGGCCAGTGTAGCGGACCACCAGGAACAGTCAGTGTTAAACACTAGAGAGAATGCAGCTATGAAACAACCGGAAGCTGACCTATCTATCCCCTAATAATGGGCGGTATGCATCAGAACCAATTTTCTCTACAGGCATGAGGTTTCCAGCTACCAGGAGTGTGTCCTTCTGCACGGCTATGCCTTCTGATATCTGGATGCCGTATAGAGTTCCAGAATAAAGCAATTGAAGATACAAAAGAACTGAGTATGGTGGAACCTGCCAGTGATAACCTTCTAGGCTGACGCAGGAGGATTGCCACAAGTTCAAGGCCAGCCTGGGATGCACAGCAAGACTATCTCCGACAACCCCACCAAAGAAAAGGCAAAGGAAATGTTTTGATTCTTATTTTTTAATCTTCAAAATTTTCTGCCATGACATCGGAATGCATGATAGAAATGGCTCATCTTCACATGAAACACTTGGGTTCATTTTCATTCACAAGTTTTTCTAAGAAAACATTTACAATTTCATAATCCCACATCCTTCCGGTCATTATCACAGATCTGACTGACACGAGACAGTAGTTGCCAGCACGAGGGGCTGGAACGCTTTCTGCGCATGAGTAGTGTCTTTGGAAACTACCACCCAAGAGTATCATGATTATAAATCTCATTGTACATGGCAACCCCAAAGGTGACAGATGTCCCCAAATAAAGTCCCTGTTTGTGGAGCACTGTATCCTCCAGGCACGGAAAGAAATGTACTTCCATCTCCTAGTGTCCTTTCCAAGGACTTGATTTCGTCACCACTGCTAACTGGTGGAGAGAGATGCCTGAAGCTGCGCTCTGATCACTGGGTACAGAACGAACTCAAAGTCAGGTGGCTTTGCAGCTCTTCTTCAGAAGAGAGCTACTTTGAGGTGTTTTTCCCCCCTTAGTTAAAAACAATGTTGTAAACAAGAGAGATACATGGACATATACCTAGACAGACTACACTGTGAATGTTTTGGTGTGTGCATCTATCTTATCTAGAGATACACAGGTCTCCACACACACCCTTCCACATAGCGTGTGGGTACGAGTGTCAGAAGGGTCCTTGGGAGTTCACCGGAGCTTTCATATTTGGAAATGATGAAATACCTGATTTTCACGTGTTACTCCTGAGAAGACACTAGAAGGGAATGACAGTTTTGATGCACTTTGGAATGAATGGCACAGTCACGTAAACGGCTGCATACTTAAGACATCTGAACCTATGAAAAGTTCCTAAACATAATTCCGACAACAAAAGTATGAAAACAATGTAGCAAGGTAAAAAAAATAAACAGTTTTTGAAATCAAAGTATAAACAAACATAGGAAATGCACACTTGTCAGTCATTTAAGTAGGAAACATACTTAAGAAAAACAGTCATCTGACAAAACTTGAAAAAAGCCCCTCCCCACGTATACCAACATGCACTGCCCACACCACGGCTGGCCAGCCAGGGGCTGCAAGGCTCACAGAAGAAGGAAATGCCCAGACAGCATATCTGCACAGGTGCCACCTAGTAAGCAGTACTGTGGGAGTGAACCCTATTACACTTCTGTAAAAAAGACATCCCTCAGTGGAATAAGTTTGTATAAAAATTACAACTGAACCAATGAATTTCAAGCACCAATTCAACCATTTAAACTACTGTGTTTATACTTCTACTGAGGGAACAGACAGTGCTGAAGGCTAGCAAGGGTTAGCAAGTCATCGTTACAGTTTGTCTTTTAAAGGCATTCGGGTTTTTTTTTTCTTCCTTTTTCCATTCCCTTGAATGCCAAACATTAGAGAATGTTTAGGCCGGTAAAGGACTCCTTGGAGAAGCCACCATCTCTCAGAACCATGGTTTAATTAATATACATCAAAAGCTCTTCAACAAACCAATGCTTGCTTCTAGGATAAAGTATCTGTCCACAGGAACTGAGGGCTGTTCCTCGTTTTAACTTAAAGAAGGCATCCCCTAGAGTAGCCTCACGAGCACGTCTGGACATCTACTGGTAGTGTAAGAAAAGGCAACACCCCCACACTTGGTAATACTCAAGTTTTCCTTAATTAAAAGTTCCCACTAGACATTTGGGTGGGAAGGTATCACAACAAGATCACTTTCCTGTATCAGGAAAAATTTGAGCCCGTGGATGAGCAATGGTGTTTGCGGTGCCTCCGTAGGTTCTGAGGAACTCACGTTCAGATAACGGGGTTATCTCGAAGGGTACAACTGCAGCTCTGTTTCCAGTATCATACCACACATGGCGATTTCTAGGACACACTCACCTGCCAGTCTCCTGCTATTTAAGTTTGGTTAAGTTTTCATCATATACCAAACGACCTTTGGTTTGCTGCGTCTCATGTGGGAAACAAACCTCCATCCACAGTGATTCCCCATCACTGCCCATCGTGTTACCTGACTCCATCCCGGCACAGGCAGCTAGCTGAGGGAGCACTGCAGCCTGGTGTTAGCACAGGAGTGGTATGCCTTGCTGGTCCTCAGGCAGGTCGGGTGCTCCCTGCTTCTCCCCTAACTCACTGGCAGGCTCTTCATCAATCACCGTACCAAGATCTTCGCTGCCCCCCTCGCTCTGCTCCTCGCTGGGCTCCGCAGCATGCTCCAGGCTGTTCTCGAGTGGGGGTGAGCTGCTTACTCTGCTGTCTTCCTCCACTGTCTGAGCTGACAGCTGGAAAGGAGGCGGTGGCGGGGGGTTAGGCTGCCTGGCATTGTCAGTGGAAGAGGCAGGGGCTTTGGTTAGACTGCTGTCTGTGACAACCTCATTCTGAGGTAAAGGTGACTTCTCCACAAGCTTCCACTGGATGATGCTCATGTCTTTCCCGCCAGTTGAAATCAGGTGACTGTCGTTATGAGTAAAACTGACGTTGGTCACGTGGCTGCTGTGCGCACTGTACTTGTGACTTGGAGCCTAGGAAAGAAGTAAGATGGGAAAATGAAACTCATTCTTCACATGCCTGCTTAGAGCAAAGGACACGACTAGGGAGACTGAGTCAGCTTATGAAAACAGCTTCATTTCATTTACACAGAAGCTGTAAGCCCTCAGATCTGAGGCTAAAACGTTGCCTATTCTGTATATAAAAAGGGGGAAGGGGGTCCTGGGCTGGAAGTACCTGGGAGGAAAAGGCAGAAGGAAGACGCTGTCCTAGAAAGAAAACAGGAAGAGGACACTATCAGTTGTCCATCCCATAGTGTGAAAAGGGACAACAGAGCTGGGCTGTGTAGCCCATCACCAAGAGAGCTGGTAACCCCACAGATCTCCCCAAGCAGAAGGTAGGGCAGTGCTGGTTTCCGCTGAGCTGAGCTCACCTTTGCTTTGGAGCACGGATACTGAAACAGATGAACTTTACAGAAATCATCGGCCACAGCTATCACCCTTCTATTGTGGGACCGCACCAGTGCATTGATGTCTGTCCCATCGGATCCTTCTGGCCAGACACCTGGAGAAAAAGGTGGACAAAATTAGCCTGAAAATATAACTGATATTACACATACCCTGAGACCTCAAGACGGGAAGCAACGGGTGGTGCTGAACAACTAGCCCTGTTTTTAAAGTCATCAATTACTTCTAGAGCAGAGTCACAGGCAGCAGAGGGGACTACGTGCTCCCTCAGGGAAGCCTAGTGTGCTATCCTGCAGAATTTTCCTGTCTTCAGAAAGACACACCTAATGTGCTTAGCAAGCTACTGAGACATGGTGATCATGGTCAGATGAGAAAAACTGGAACATTTAGGTTGAAGTGTTGATCTCCCTGGCTGAGTCCTACATTGGAGAACTTCTTGTTAATGTGTATGAGTGTGAGTGTTTGCTTGCACATGTGTGCCTAGTGACCACAGGAGTCAGAAGAGGGCATCTGACCCCCTGAACAGCCCACCATTGGGAGCCACAGTGGGTGCTTGGGAATTAAATCAGATCTGCCTTTCTAGCCCTGGGAATAAATCATTTCAGGGGAGATGGCAGGTCTGTTGTCAGGAGATTGTGGGGCAGCTGCTGCAGAAGCGCTGGGCTCCGGCCCTAGACCTGCACGGGGGTTCACAACCATCCTGAGCTCCAGTTTCATGGGATTCAACTCGCACGCACACGGCACACATACATACTCCCAAGCAAGCACTCTTTACACATAAGTTAAATCTTACTGTTATGATAGAATGGCTTGCCATCAAGCTCCCAGGATCTGCCTGGCTGGCCTCACAAAGTTGGGGTTATAGGCATGTTTATAATAATGACCAGCCAGGCGTTGGTAGTGCACGCCTTTAATCCCAGCACTCGGGAAGCAGAGGCAGGCGGATCTCTGTGAGTTCAAGGCCAGCCTGGTCTACAGAGTGAGTTCCAGGACAGCCTCCAAAACAACACAGAGAAACCCTGGCTCAGAAAACAAACAAAAGAAAACAACAAAAAAAAAACAATGCCCAGATTTTTAGGTGGGCTCTGGAAGTTCAAACTCAGGTCTTCAGGCTTGCGAAGCAAGTGCCTGTACCCATGGAACCATCTACATGATGTGAGACAGGGTCACTTGCTAACCCTAAAGAGCGGATTCAGGTAGGCCGATGGCCTTTAGGGACCCATACCAGTGACAGAACTGTAGGTTCATGCTAGCTGCAAGTCTGAATTTGGGTCCTCATGCACTTTGCCAAGTAAGTCATCACTTCAGCCCTATAATTCCCCAATTTTATCTTTAAAACATCTTAATATTTAACAGATGGCACTAGGACAACTGAATACCCTGGATGGGGGGGGGGTCACATTTTGGCAAGGCCACCAAATCCCTGTAATTCTCATGTACACCACCATAGAATGTACATGGCACATTCACACACTAGTAGTTCTCAAAGGCCACAGGACTTAGCAATGCCACACTGGAGTGGAACCTGCCTATAAAAACTCTGTCCACGTATACAGCATCACTGTAATACCGAAGAGCAGACACAACCTACTGATGAATAAAGAAAATATGCTCTCTACCACTCATACAACAGGCATCAGAGCTGTAAGAGAAGGACTGCTCCATGCCACCGTCACTGGACCGCAGTTGTGTATGTGCCCGTTTATATGAAGAAAGAAACTGGCAGAAAGCAGGGGAGTGCAGTGTTGCTGGGTTTGGATAGAGCAGTGGTTCTCAACCTTCCTAAGACCCTTTAATGTAGTTCCTCATATGGGGACCCCCAACCAAATTATTTCATAGCTACTTCATTCATAACTGTGATTTTACCTCTGGGAGAGGGTCATCAGACCCACAGTTGAAAACCACCAGGGCAGAGGGAGAGATGGGTAAATGGTTTCTTTGGGAGCAAGGAAAATATTGCAAGCATGATGAATTTTATGACTGATTCACACTTTAGGTAAGCTGTACATGTGGATGAGATCCCACTAGAGCTACTGTTTTAAAAAATGTCTTTACTAATTTGAAAGCTTCAATCCACTTGGGGAACACTGGAAGGTAGTTTACCCAACTGGTGTTCTCACATTGGCTCAATCAGTACACTGGACCTTTCTGCCTTCCAGCTGCTGAGGTTAAAGGCGTGTGCCACCATCAGTTTACCCAGTAAACACAGTGTAAAAAGCTCACACACTCCCCACATTAGTGTGATGTTCTTACCAAAGACTTGAAAGCCCAGCACACAGGTGTATGTCGTCCAGTCAATGTCCTTACAGTCTGACCGGTTCCTGATCAGTTTGCAGCCATTCTCAATGTCCCCTTTAGGAAATGACAAACAGGGAATGTAATGAGTGCATCTTGAGTCAAACTGGTCACATTTACTTGCATTTATAACCCATACACTGAACAACATTGAGATACACTTAACAGGGGAAAAAAGTGTGTATCCGGACCTTACAGAACAGAATTACAAAGTGTCTGAAAGCATAAAGGCTCCTGCCTCCAGGAAAAGCTGCTAAATGAAGCCATTCAGAGCTGCCTCAGTTTCACAGAAAAATCTCTCATGGCAACATCTGATGTCAGTTCAGCACCGTTAAATTAATGCGTTGCTTTCTTGGAAAGGAACTGCATGGGAGCCTCATTACTTAGCCTGGAGTAACATGTGCTGTTAAGTTAGAGGCCAGCACACACTTCACCATTCCCATTCCACACAGCCTTCGTAGCACTGCCTGGCAAACATATCTGAGCCCCACGATTGCTCATACTTACAGTACAGTATCTCATAGTCGCCCGAGTTAGACATTATATGCTTGTTGTCTGGGGACCAGTCAAGGTGTGTGATGTAGCTAGAATGTCCCTAAGGAAAGAAAGGTTATAAGACAGCATTTAGTTTTGAGTGACAGTGTAATTTGCGAACAGTGCTTTCTCAGCACCCGTACGCCAGGCCTCCTAAGGGATGGGGCAGCATCAGAGCCTATGTATGGCACCAAAGGGACCCAGAACAGGTTCTTCAGTTCTTTAGACCCTGCCCTGTTAGAAGGCGAGAATGCAGGGAGATACAACAACAGAACACTGTCAAGTGCTCCAAACCTGGTGCCACCCTGGCTTTATCCACACCAGAGACAAGCAGGTACTCCCTGTGTTACATTCTCAGGCTTGTCTTTAACCCACTTACCATATGGCCCAATGGGGCGACACTTGTCTTGAGAAAGAAATTTCTGTTACAGATTATGCACATAGAAGTTTTCCTGGGCTGTGTATGGTCCCTATAAATAGTTAGAACTCTCCTAGACAAATTCCTATCGCCAAAGAATGTTCTGGGTAGTGGAAAGTGACCCAACATTGCATTCCTGCAGAACAGCTGGACCCAAGTTAATCATCTGATTCTTCAAAACTCTCCTTAAATAGGAAAACAGTGATCTTTTGCTGCTTAGCTTTTAACACTGGAAATTAAAACAACAAAACTACTAAATGCTTAACTGTTAGTTTACATGTAAGCATTTAATGATTCCCAATAACCTATTTCAGGCATGTCCTGCAGATCTTATGATTTATCAAGGCCAACAGACAGGCTATATGAAAAGAGTGTGTCTAACTTTGTACTTTTAGAATTAAAAGCCTCCTGCTTACATTATTTTAAGTCAATAAACTCAATGTGTCTCAGATAGTTTTTAATGACTCACAAGCTTCTTAATTATTCCAGTCTCCTGAAGCCAAATTAAACGTGTCCCAAACTCTTTTTGGACCCGCAACCCTGCTCATAGCACCGCAGATCCATGTATATATATATATATATTTTGGTTTTTCGAGACAGGGTTTCTCTGTGGCTTTGGAGGCTGTCCTGGAACTCGCTCTGTAGACCAAGCTGGCCTCGAACTCACAGAGATCCACCTGCCTCTGCCTCCCGAGTGCTAGGATTAAAGGCATGCGCCACCAACGCCCGGCTCCATGTATGTTTAAGTGAACTGAACAGTGAAGTTTGGGAGTTTTAAGTTTCCTGAATATTAGAGACTGTGGGTATGTTGGAAAACAGGTCAGGAACCACTTGCAGTTGAAAACATTAGCCACAAGAGATCAATGTTTAAAGCCAGAATGGTATGCATGGTTACTAGCTATTTCTGAGTGTGCATGAGGGCATGCTAACACACTGACAGACAAGTCTCATGTCTGCCTCTGCTGTCTGGAGGTTAAGCAGATTAATCATGGTAACGCACAATCCTCTAAGCCTTTATCCTAACACAGATGTTCTCTGCATATTACCTGCATCTCTGGAAAGCACGTTTATTTCTATGCAATACTTAACTCCCACAACAGTAGACACAGAATGCAAACTGGTGCCCAGGCAATTTCTTTAGTGAAGTATGTAGCTTGTTTATAGAATTTAACTTCCATATTATAAAGATAACCTGTTACCTTCAGAAATGGGGAAATGAATAACAGCATATGTGTTTCTGCTAATTTTCTTAAATGCAGACATTGCTAAAGTTATTCTATTTTAATGACAAACAGGTGACATAGGATATTGGGGATGGGCAGAAACATGGGACATTGAGGTAAAGTTTCCCAGAGCTAGGGTGTGGTGACACACACCTTTAATCCTAGCACTCTGGAGGCAGAGGCAGGGAAGATCTCTGTGAGTTCAAGGCCAGCCTGGACTATGCAGAAAGATTGTTTATCAAACAGTTTCCTACAGAAATAGCTTGAACAAACTGCTTTAAACTCACTAGAAAGATTAATACTAAGCTCAACTGTAGGGAGTACCTTCCCAGGACCCATAGCAGTGTTCTAGAGGCAGGTAATTACAATTTTCTAAAAAGGTATTCCATTATGTGTGTGGGCATGTGCACTGCCCACAGAGAGCAGAAACACCAGATCCCCTGGAGCTGGAGTTACGGGTGGATGAGAGCAGCTCCATGTGGGTGCTGGTACCCAGGTCCTCTGCAGGAGCAAACTCCTTCCCAATCAGATACCTCCAGGTTTCCCCTCTTCGCTAACTGAGGTAGGGTCTCACATGTCCTCGGTTGGTCTCAAACTTACTTCATGGCTGGGGATGACCCTGTATACTGATCCTCCGTTGCCATGTGCCAAGAGTGTGCCACCATAGCTAGTTTATAAGGTACTGTGGATCGAGGTAAGGGACCCATGCATTCTAGTACAGGTGATCTCAGGTTTCACAGAAATAGAGTTTAAATCAGTTATCAGGAGAAAACATGGGCTACATCAAGTTGAACAATTCTCCTTTTAGCAGAACACAATTTCTCAATTACTTTGTAGCTTAGGTCATTCTATCTTGCTACTTACAGTGCATTTTCCATATCTGCTGTATTTTCTTGCATTTTCTGAGACCGAGTAGAGGTAAATAAAGTTGTCATGAGATCCTACAGCCAGGAGAGTACCATCTAGAATTAAACATGAAAAAGTGCTGACTGGAAAAATGTCTGTATGTATTGCTACCTTATTGGTTCTATAAAAAAATGTTAAACCTCATCAATGTAACTGTTATTTGGCATTTTATGAACAAATCCAATCACTTAGCATCTCCTAAAATCAAATGGTAACCCAGTTTAACATAGAATCCTTCCTTGGAGATACTCGATGGTCTTGTCCCCCTATAGTCAGAGGATGGGTTCAGAACAAATTCCCTACATTTACTGGTGGAAGCATACACTGTTCATGCAGTAAGCTATGTACAGCATAGGCAAGCACATCTGACGCCACCAACATCAGGGTAGGTCTTCTTAGGAAGGAACACATTACATTCTCTGGTTCTGTGTCATCTCTGGTTATACCTACCGCTATGCTAAGCAAACTGACAACTGGACAGACCACTGATTTTAAATGCTACATTTTGTAGAGGTTGTAATTACAGCATTAAAAAACAAAACCTAAAAAAAGCAAACCAGGAAACACTGCTGTCTCAAATGACTGTACTGGGGCAGGCAGAAAAGGGAACTGTTGACATGCTTGATGACCTCGTTCAAGCCTAGGAACCACGAGGTAGAAGGATAGAATGACCTAACAAGAGTTGTCTTCTGAAATATGTGCACATACATACATGTGAAAAACAACAGAAATCAAACTAATTTTTCTTCATGTTTGTGCTTCTTTGGAAACAATGAAGGAGCCAATCAAACATCCTCTCTTTATTCTTAATCAATAGCTGTGAGAATATATTCTCTGGGCCAAAGATGTAGCTCCTTGATGAAGTCTTTACCTGTCAGGTACATGGAGGCCTGGTTTCAACCTCTAGCACTACAAAGGCAAAACCAACCAACCAAAAATGTGCAGATGTAAGAAATTCCACGTATGCATGCCTATAACCCCAGTTCTTCTAAGAGGCAGGAGAATTATGAGTTTCAAGCTGGCTAGGGAAAGACTATGCCTCAAAAAATATCAGATTGACTCTAGAAAAGAGTAATATAAATCAAACCACATGAATAACAACAAAAAACTGGAATACTGTGAAAATATTCTGAAAAGTACAAAGAATTACTTAAAGCTGAACGAGTTAAAAATTCTTATAATGAATTACTAAGTATTTTATATAGTAACAGTTATTATTTAACATTATTTTGAGTTATATATAGTATTTGGCTATTAGTGTGCATTCTGGTTATTTCTTCTACAACTTTTTGGCAATGACAAGGACTGAACCCAAGGCAAGTATTCTACCACTGAACTCCATTCTCCACTGCTTATATCCTCTTATATAAAAAGAACAGGTTGCTGTTTAGATATAACATTCAACTATTGTGGGATATCTGTATTTTGTGTGAAGATGTATTGCTGTGATTGGCTTAATAAAAAGTTGAATAGCTAATAGCAGGAGAGCATAGGCAGAACTTGCAGGGAGAGAGGAACTGGAAATGAATCTATAGCACACGACAGATGCCAGCGAGACCCAGAGAGGGTCGGACATACAGAATGGAAGAAAGGTAAAAGGTCATTTGGCAGAGCACAGATTAATAGAAACAGGTTAAGTTATTAAGAGCTAGTTGGGAATAAGCCTAAGCTAAAGGCCAAGCTTTCATAATTAATGAGTCTGTGTTATTATTGGGGCGAGTGGTCCCAATGAGAAAGTACGACTACATTTAGCTTACTATATAAAGATTCTAGTGTACACAGTATGATTTGGTTGTACTGTTTTTAACTGCTACTGCAGCTGTGATAGTTCATGGTCAATACAGGCTAGATGATGATTATGCTGTTTAATTTTTTGGGTTTCTTATAATTGCCAGTAGTGGAGTTTAACCTGATATTCAGGAGATGCATCACAACTTTTGCAAACAGATAAAAGGAGTGAACCTCATCGACGAGTAAATGTGATCTCAGTGAGTGCACACCAATGGGGGGGGGGAGACTGCCCACCTACTGAGTAGCGCATCACAGAGAGCTGCTCGTTCCCATCTGTGTGGATGGACACCAGATCTCTGCTTTCTGCATCCAGAACAAACCACCTGTTTCAGAAGGAAAAAACAAAAACTACCTTCAGATAGTAACATTTACAGGAAAGAGTAGCTGACTTTTTCTACCATTTTTTTTTCAGATTTCATTTATTTTAGTTTTATTTGCATTAGCATTTGGCCTACATATGTCTGTGAGAGGCTGTCGAGTCCCCCGGAACCAGAGTTACACACAGTTTCTGCCATGTGGGCTTGGGAACTGAACCCAGGTCCTCTGGAAGAGCAGCCAGTGCTCTTAACCAACGAGCCATCTCTCCAGTCCTTTTCTACACTTTTAACTTTTTGTTTGTTTGTTTTTGTTTTTTGAGACAGTGTTTCTCTGTATTGTTTTGGAGGCTGTCCTGGAACTCACTCTGTAGACCAGGCTGGCCTCGAACTCACAGAAATCCCTCTGCCTCCTGGGTACTGAGATTAAAGGCGTGCGCTACCAATGCCCCGCTACACTTTTAATTTAAGAAATTTAAGTATTAATCTTTTAACTACGATTGTGCTTCTATGTTCTAATCAAGGTTGTTTTTAAAAAATGCTGCTAGATGGACATGGGTCTAGTTGTGTTTTTATTTCTACTTAGGAATTCAATGAATGTCAACTCTACCTCTTGTCAGGCATTGTTTAGACAGAAAAATAAAATGACAGGGTCAAGGTTTTGAAGAGTGATTATACTAGAACTGAAAGGCAGCAATGGGGCAGTGGAGAAAGGAAATGACTAAACGGTAATCCCAGGGACGGTCAGCAAACAACAGAACTCACAAAGGAAATGAGTAAGAGTGGGCACAGAAGAACTTGTAAGGAGGATGCGGGATGAAGCGAGCCTTGAGGGAGGTTAGGACAATGGCAGCTGTACAGCCAGGAAGGTAGGCAGGAACAAGGGACAAATTCAGGATTGAATTTTAGTAGTTTTGTGAGTGAGGGGCTGGAATTTCTCTAGGTAGCTAATTTAACCCATATACTCTGTCATTTAACAGCCTTCTCCACATACTTGAGTTTAAAGGCCAAGCAGTAGGAAGTTGGCACACGGGAGCCATATGGTCCTTGTTTACTGAACATACGTTGGCGCAGCTGACGGTGCCCACAGACTGTAGGTTTGTTTTGAACTGTTATTCACCAATCTTCAGGCTACCACTGTAAGCACTGAGAGCTGCCTTTTCGGAAAGGGAACAAGATGACATCACAACTAAGACTAATTGAATCTTGAGATACAGAGTTACTATGAATACCAGGCTTCAAGTTTTAATGATTATGAAACTTTAATAATTTTAAATAAGTAACAATAAAGTTGGCAAATCCCTAACTAATATTGACTATTTCTAGGTCATTTTAATTTTCCTAGGAAAACTACATACATTTTAAAAAGTCTGTTTGGAAGCAACCTTAGCAAGCAACAAAGCCCAGATCATGTTCTCATGTATAGAAACCTACACTGTTAAAGATAGCAGCTACTTAAAAACAAAAGATGAACTCTTGTGTATTTTTTTCTACTTCTTTAAACACTCAGCAAGTTGATTCTTCTATTTCTGGAATAGTGTTTTATTTTGGACTTTAATTTGCATGTGTGTGAAAGCCATAAGCTGATTCTCCACTGAGACAGGGTTTCTCTTCTCACTGAACACAGCAGGAGCTTGAGGGTTCAGCTGTTCTAGCTGGCCAGCTTCCGTCTCCACTTCCTGAGGGCTGGGATTAGAGGCTGGATGCCAGGCCTGCTTAACTTTGATGTGGATTCTGGGGCTCCAAACCCCAGTCGTTACCTTATGTGCATCCAGAGCAGTGTCTATTGAATCCTCTCCCCAGCCAGGCAGTGATTTGTAACAGTAAGTGGACGAGGCTGTTAGCGCAGAGTGTCCCCACAGCTCTCGTGCTCCCACCCCCCTCGCTGCACTCCAAGTCCCAGCAAAGGGAATTCTCTACAAACAAAATCTGCGTTTTCACGTTGTAGTTAATCACTTCTTATTTTAGGGTGTATATATCAGAACAGAGCTTCTACTGGGGAGTAATGTGCCATCACTATGAGGCTCTATGGAACCTAAAGGATCTAATGGGCTTTTCTAAACATGGTGGCCATCGGGGATGGGAAATAATCTGTCATATAGTAAGTTGATGTACAAACCTAATACCCTTTATCATGATGTCTTTTTTGGGGTAAGGGTGGAGTCTCATGTAGCTCAGGATGGCTGTCTACTTGATCGATAGCTAAGGGTGACCTTGAATTCCTGATCCTCCTACCTTCCCACAAATGCTGGGATCACAGTCTTGTCACCATAGTTGGGTATATATATGGCTTATGCACAGACAATTTAGAGGTAGAACCACCTTGATGTCCTTAAATAGACGTGTCTCTTTTCCTTTAGAAGTATGCATCCATGATCATATCTTTTGGATGAAGTGTCCTACGGCCTTGCTCTTTTGCTTATGATTCTCTAGTTAGAGAAAACAGGAAACTGGGGCTAGGGAGACAGCTGAGTGGTGAAGGGTACTTGCTGGTCCTCCAGAAGACCCACGTTTCATGCTGGGTAGTCACAATCACCTGTTACACAGCTACAGGGGATCCGACACCCTCTTCTGGCCTCCAAGAATGACCACGCATACATGGAATAGACAGACAGACACACATAAAAATCAAAATCAAAAGGAATGTTACTTTTGTAATTAGAAAAATGTAAAGTCAAAAGAAGAAAGAAAACATAAGACCAAAAACCTCTGAGTTTGAGGCCAGCCAAGATTACAAAGAGAAAGCCTGTTTTAAAAAAATTAAAAGATGTAAAGCCAAGAAGAGAAGAAAAGCCCACTTCAACCGATCACTTATGTGATAAAGGACTCTTTACAGCTCAGTAATTCATGTGTGGGACGGGATCTGAATATACAGTTTGCTTAGAATAGTAAGCAAGTGACTGGTGCAAATGCAAACCATGCCATCAGCTACTCTACTCGGCCCCTCCTGGGTGGCCAGAACACAGGCAGGTGAGGAGATGCTGTGAAGATGTGGGAAACTGAAGCCCTCTAAAGTTGCTGGTGGGATTGCAAATGACACCGGTGATGTACAAAAGTCTGTCAAAGCATTAGACACAATTGTATGGCCTGGCCTGTCTACTGACATCCAAGATAACGGAAAGCATACCCCTACACCAAACCTGTACACAAATGTTTGTAGCAGGATTAGTCCATTATTGAAAGTGGAATGCCAAATGGCCATTAAAAGGAATGAAGTACTACTATACATTTACTTCAAGTGAAAGAAGCCAGTAACCAAGGCATGCCTGTGTGATCCCAATTCATATGAAATGTCTGGAACTGGCAAACCTATAGGAAAAGGCTGATCAGCTGCCTGTAGCTGAAAAGGTCAGAAGGTGGGTATAGAGGAACTGCTATTAGGGTAAAGGATTTCATTCTGGGCTAATGAAAACAGTCTGAAATGACATTACACAGCTCTATGAATGTACTAGAACCATTAGATAATATACTTTCCTGGACTTTATGGTAAATTATATCTCAATAAAATTGAGCAGTGGTAATTATGCCCACTCATGTTTATGCACTCATTTTCCCCCTTAAAAATGATACAATACAGTCTCTGGGCAGTTGTAGAGCTCTTGTCTAGCACACAAGGCCCTGGGTTCAATCCCCAGGCACCACATACACCACACACTTTTAAAATGACAATTTTATTACTGATAATGTATTTGTTCTTGTGTTTATTTGTGCAGATGTAGTATTGTGAAAATATCTCTTACTAATTACTATTGGACCTCACAGCTGAGTTAATAATGTTTTTTTTTTTTTTTTTGGTTTTTTGAGACAGTGTTTCTCTGTATTATTTTGGAGGCTGTTCTGGAACTCGCTCTGTAGACCAGGGTGATCTCGAACTTACAGAGATCCACCTGTCTCTGCCTCCCGAGTGCTGAGATTAAAGGCGCGCGCCGCCAACGCCCTGCTTAATAATACATCTTGAGGTCACTTAAGACTTAATAATGCCATCCTACTGTGTCTAACCTGCATTTGAAAGAACAGTGTAACTTGCCTTGGATTTTCCATGCAATCTGCTTAAGCTAATGCACAGCTTTAATCTTTTCCATGGTTTTCACCCAGAACAATATATGTGTGTCTGCATGTGTGTTATGATAATCCTTTGCTGAGAACAGCAAACAGGATGCATGTACTAATAAATACATGCCACTAATGCTTCATTCCTTCTCAGCTGACGTGCCCTTTCTGAGCTGTTCAATACATACAGAGAAAAAGCACAGGGATATAGACTCAAACTGTTTACAGCTGGCCAGAACCCAAAGCTACAGAGAGAAGGAAGACACAGGGAGAGAGAGGACTAAACTCAGGCTAGCTCCTGGTTAAATTACTACAGGAGAAGTACTTTGATTTCTTTCCTTAATGGAGTACCAATGCATATTGGTGACTGACTCTGAGTCACTAACACACTTGGTACTTGGTGACATGATGCTGAAATCTATAAATGAATACAGACACATCGTTAAACATCTTACCAGTCATTTTTCTGGCTAACGCACAACTTGGAAATGTTTTACAATAACCAGCTTATAGCCCTGAATGTGACTTTCCCTCAGGTACAAAAGATAAGTGATTATAATTTGGATGACTAAAATAGTAATTTTTCAGTTTCAGAGAGTGAAGTGTTCACAGACTGAAGGAAAAAATAAAAACAAATGTCAGGTCTATGAATCAAAAGCACAGAAGCAGGTGTTAACCCAGCACAGAATTGTATCTAAAATGAACAATGAAAATTGCATCTGGAGTAGATCCTGCAGTCACCAGCTCCACACCAGATGGAACAGACTAAGGGCCAACACTACATATGTAGTTATTTATAACAGTCCTCTCATTCATGTGCTATCTACTCACAACTCCAACAAGTAATCATTGCTTTTAGTATAAGTCACTAAGACTGAGTAACTCACAGCTTCATAAATATTAGAAAGTAATTTTAGTGGGTTTCAACCAGATAACTTTTTAAACATTTAAGATTTTAAAAAACCTGTGTGTGTGGGGGGGAGAATTATGGGGAGTGCACATGCCATGACATGCACATGGAGGGCAGAGGACAACTTCCAGGAGGTGGTTCTTGATTCCAGGGACTGAGCTCATGCTGTGGGTGAGCATATGTATTTGACACACACGTATCCCTTTATCCAGTCAAACTGCTTTTGTGATTTTCAAACCCCTCTAGCCTTACACTTCACTTAGTGCTAAGTAAAGGATGACTAAGTGCACACAAGAGTATTATTAAGTGTGCTGTATATGAGATGAATTTCCCAGATGAGATTGACAACACTCTACAGTAATTCAAACAGCCCATAATTTTGGATCACTCAGCTCACTTAAAGACCCTACCTGCCTGAGTGTGTTCCGATGGCGACCACTGTACCGCTTGGATGAAAATCTGCACAGTGTCCTGGTTCCTAGAGGAGAAAAAGACAGCCATTGAGGGTGTGATGGTTTGAATAGGTATAGCCGGACAGACTCATGTGTTTGAGAGTTGGTTATAGGGAGTGGCACTATTGGGAGGTGTGGCCCTGTTGGAGGAAATGAGTCACTGTGGGGATGGCTTTTGAGGTCTCATATGCTCAAGTTATGCCCAGTGTGGGACACAGTTCACTTCCTATTGCCTGTGGATCAAGATGCAGAACTCTCAGCTTCCTCTCCAGCACCATGTCCCGCCACGCTGATAATGGACTACAGCCCCGGCTAAATGTTTTCCTTTCTAGGAATTGCACAGCAACAGAACCCTGACTAAGACAAAGGGTACAGGAGAAAGACTCCTTAGCTCTAAGGGAACTGTGAAAAAACATCTAAGTTACTTGTTTCACATGAACATGAAATTCTGGACAGCTTTACTGAAACCAATGAGAAATACTATATAGATACAACTGAAAAGGAACTGTAGGACTGACTGGCAAAGGGAAAAGGTAATTGGTTTGTGGCTAAGCAGTGGAACAATATGGGTAACACCAAATACCTTAAGAAATATGTGTTGGGTGGTGGCAGTGCACACCTTTAATCCCAGCAGTGGGGAGACAGAGGCAGACATACAAGATTGAGGCCAGCTTGGTCTACAGAGCAAGTTCCAGAACAGCCAGAGATACACAGATAAACGCTGTTTCTGCACTCCACCCCTACCCCCCAAAAAGACACAAAGACCTCATATATTTCAAAATACAAGATCACTTTCACTCATAAAGAAGACGGTAGCATCTGTTACAGCATTTACTGAAACTAAATGCAACACCATAGTGGCCAAAATATTTCATAATTAATGCTCCACAAATAGATGAAGTGTCTAATTTGACAACTGAAACAGAGAAAAACTGGGAGTGTATGTGGCTCTCTTCACCAAGCCATAGACACAAGTTTATATCAATGCTTAGTCCTTTTCTCTTTGCTGCTTCCATCCGGCAGCAGGAGGCGTTTGCACGGGGAAATTACCCACTCACATCCACAAGCCTGGTCCACTCCAGCCTGTGCTCCGCTGAGTCCCACATGCACACCTGCCTGTCCTGAGCACACGTCAGGAGCAAGTCTTTGAAGGGATGTGTAGCGAGGCCCCAGAGCTCATCTGTGTGACCCTGAAAATGAAAAACCTTGTAAGAACCAAAGGGTGTCACCAAAAAATAACATAGAAACCGCTGGCCTCACATAGCTTACCTGCACTTCTATTTGGAAGCCATCGTTAAATGTTCCCCGTAAAATGAAGTTTCGTGATGTACCTACTAAAAATTGTTCTGCCTTTCCTTCTGCAACAGCTCTAATTGTGCCATACTGATCAGGAACCTGGAACAAATGAATGCACGAAGTTACTGTAAACAGAGTAACATGCAATAATTACTACCTGAATAGCAGTGCTCACAGCTGTATGCAGATATAGGGTAATAAAGGCAGACTCTAACCCTGAAACAATGGGGTGGTCTCATCATTTTGTAATTTAATGTTCACTTACATTTTATCACACAGAAGTTATAGTGTATTATTATCAACATCCTTTGCCTCATTTATAATAATTATCTTTGCAGCACAAGGTCTCCCACAGACTGCATAAGCTTCTCACAGTGATCTCACTTCTAGCCCACTCCAGAAAAATCTAAATGTATATTCTGTATCATTCCAAGAGTTAAGTGTGGGGAAAGGTAGTAAGTTCTTTTGGAACTCATAAAGCGTATGTCCCAGGGTTTTGTTTTATGTTCTTGACTGTCACAAGGACCAAAAAAGAAAAGTTTTAGTGAATCAAAAAAACACAGTTGACCTTTTATCTGTGGATTCTGCATCCAAGGACTAAATCAACCGGGGACTGAAAATACTAGAGTGAAAAAAACCTGTCTGTACTGAATATGTACTACCCCATCAATAGTTCCTAAATAACTCAGTAAAACATTTTGATAACATTCATACTGCATCAGATACAGTAAGCAGTATACAGACAATTAATGTGTAAGTACACAGAAATACCTGACAGCATTATTTAAGGGACTTGAGTACACACAGATCTCTGGACTCCATGGGGAGATCAGAAACTACTCCTTTACAGATAGGAAAGGATGACTGCACTGTAAAGTGTTCTAAAGGCTATTCATGGGCCTCTTTGTGAGATCCATTTCACTTACACACACTATGTGATATAATCTCAGTGACCTTTACACCAATGATCACACAGAATGACCTGAAACGGGGCGTTTCTTCTTCATGAAGGGGCTCCAAAATGCCTCTGCTCATACTGATTGCCTAACCTGTGTCAGGCCCCAAGTTCAATTTCTTGTACTGCAAAATACAATAAAGACCTCAAACTCCAAATTACGTTGTTTAAAGCAGATCACTCTGTGCTATAACAAGCTTTCTCTTCTGGGGGAGGGGAAGGAATGGTAAGAACATGTACTAGTTTCCCAGAAAAGTGATCTCAAAAATGGGATAAACTGCATGAGTAGAGTTCTACTATGTTAAGATTTTTAGTGTTCTGTTGCCAGCCTTACCTCGATTTCTCTTTCAGGATTTAGATCATGATCCCACAGAATTACTTTTCTGTCTTTCCCTCCTCCAGTTAATAGCATCCCATTTCGCATCTGACAGAGTGTAAACACACTGCCATCGTGAGCTTTGATTTGTCTGCTGATCTGATAGACACCTAATATGATAATGGGGAAATAAAAATGCTAGTAATAACACCTTTTATTAGACCTTAGTGTCCTAGAAACAAGCTTCAGCAGAGCTACAGAGCGAAGACTCAGAACGTTCATAACTTCATAATCAAAAGTCAATTCTCAGCAAGTTATTGAAACATGGGGACAGAGAGGCTTAAGGCTGAAAAGAATCCTTCACATTCATGTTGATATTATGTACTCTAAAAATTTTCTTACAGAAAAGTAAGCTGCTAAAATACTGAGAACCATCCAGAAAAAGGTGTAAAATGTAGCACCAAACTTCACTGCTACCTCTTGTGATAGTTTTGTGCAACATTAGTGTGGTGTCACTCTTATGACTGCAGAGCAAGGTCAGAATTATGGGGGTCACAAGCACAATACCAGTTATCTAGTAATAAAGCTGTGACCAGAACCCAAGCCTCCCACTTCAATGTCTCTGGAGCTTTGCAAAAAAGCCTTTGTTAGTTACTCAGCACATAACAATCACTAGTAGACATTCTGCTGAGAACTAGGAGGCTAGAAAAGAAACCATGTCACCCAATCGTGATCTGGAGCCCACGATGCTTATTCAGAGGTCTCTAGCAATCAAGTGAGGCTAGCGAGGCAAGAGGACAGCTTTTAGAAGATAATGCCTTAGAAAATTAGTTACCAGGTCCACGATGGAAACCAGGGCCTTGTTTAAACATGGGCTGAAGTCAACAAACAGACTTAGGTCATGTGGAAAAATGGGGGAAAGTTTTAAAAAGATTTATTTTCTAAAATTATACATCAACTGGTGAATGGATAAGCAAAACATAGGTATGCCTATATAACTGAATATTATGTCATAAAAATGGGTAATAAAACAGCCCTAACATGATGGACCTGGAAAACATGCTAACTAAAAGAAGCCAGTTATAGTCAGGCATGGGAGTCCCACATCTATAATCCCAGAAGGAGAGTTGAGTTTGAGGTCAGCCGGGGCTACACAGTGAGATCTAGACCAGCCTTGGATATGTCATAAAGTGTGTTAAAAAACAAAAAAAGCCAACCAAATAAAAAAGAAGCTTAGTTATAATAAGCCACACATTTCACTGTATTCCAATATATTACCTAGAATAGAGACACCCAGAAAGAACGGAGTGACTGCTAAGTGAAGACGCTGACAGGTGGGAGACTGTGGGTAAACATTACTGCGTGTACTCTTAAAGGAGCACAGGCATGTTGGAAACGCTCATGTTAACTACGGCACACACTCTCCTCCTGGCTGGGTAAAAGGCGAAGACCACCATGGCACTAGGTAAAAATTATGCAGCACGTGGAAGACGACAATAGTATACCTTTAGGTCCTTTCCCAGGCGGGGGTTCCACGGCAGTTCTGCCCCAGATGAGCATGACTCCACCTGAGTCTCCAGTGAGAACATCTCCGTTCCCCAAGAACGCTAAACATTGAATGAACTTTGGTTTCTCATATTTCTACAATAAAATGAGAATCTTCAGGTTTCTCTTTGACATGGTAACTTTATGCTTACAAAACAATAAAAAAGATTATCTATGTTACAACATTCTGATCCTTACCCCAAAAATTCCCTGTTTTCTTGTTAGTGAATTGCCACTCCAGGTCCAGAAAAAAATATGAGATTTACCACATGTTATTATAGTATTTGCATCTGTTGGGTGGAATTCCACAGCCAAAACAACTTCATTTGTTGTCTGTGGAAAAAAAAATGACACTTTTAGAAGAATAAATATTCTTATTGCTATCAAAGTCCAATTATAGGTTCCTTATATAGACAGGGAAAATATTTTAGGAAATGTCTTTTCTTTTAAGATTTATTTTCCTAAATCACCTATGCCCCAAGACAGAGTTTCTCTGTGTAGCTCTGGCTGTTCTGGAACTTACTCTGTAGACCAGGCTGGCCTTGAAACTCACAGAGATCTGCCTGCCTCTGCCTCCCGGGTGCTAGGATTAAAGGTGTGTGCCACTACCACCTGACTTCCTAAAAAAAGAAATTTAAGAACAAACTTCTAGAATCAAGGCTTAAATGTGACATCCTTATACTATTACATCAATTCTTCTCCTGTTTATTTATAAGAAATTTGTAAGAATGACACCATACTTCTTACATATTGGAAAAGCACACACACTTCCACTGTGCAATGCAGGAGCAATGTGTGTTGTCTTCAAGCTCACAGCACTAGAGCCAGAAGCAGGCCAGGTGCTTTCTAAGTTTCCTATCCCCCGCTGCTACATAGGAAATCAAACCAGAGGTGCTGTCTCACTGGAATAGGACTGTAAGCAGTGTACCGCTCTCATGTTTACAGTTTTTTTTTTCAACATTATACTTGTGAGATCCATTCATGTTCAGTCTAAATGTCATAAAATATTCATTGGAAAAGAAAAAAAAGGACCACATCTCCAGCTAACTGCCTAGAGTAGTTGCACATGAATATATCAGTCTAGTTATGTTGGAGTTATGTTATGTTAGTTACTCTGGAGAAAACCAACTGTGTCAGCAAGTAGGCCTAGGTTCATTCAGCCTTAGCAGGTAATGCCAAATAGTTTTCCAAAATGGGCATGCCAATTTGTCCACTCCAGCAGCAGTTCCACACTGAACCTTAAACTTACACAAAGTAGAAAAGTTATTTATCAGGCCTTAGGTTTTTATGACTTAAGCAGAAAGAGTGCCCCGTTAGACTGCTGTAAGGTCAATACACAGGGAGGAAGACGGTGGAGAGAAGGCCAGGGATCTAGCCCTAGAACCAGTCATTCCTGGCAAAATGCCTTCATTCTTTTTCTACGAAGGCTTTCCTTTCTGTCCTACCAGAAATAAATACTCTGCAGTCAAGCTTTGCTTGCTTTACAGTGAGCTATTCTAGACAAGGACATTTAGGGGAATGTGGCGATCTGGATGAGAAAGGAGAGGCCCTGGTGTCTCCGATAGATACAGCATCCATGTTGGGAGGCAATACTGGTTGGGACAACAGGAGATTGTACTAAGTTGATTGATTTGTGGTAGAGGACATTCATATACAATGTCTGGGAAATCTGGGCTGGAGGTACATAGTGTAGTATCTTAGACAGCAGTGCTCAGAGTGGAGTATCTGCAAATAGAGCTCTGTACTAGCAACATATCCTGGAAAGGCGATGGAGGCATGGCCAGGGGAAAACACAGTGCTCACCTGGGAGACCTTCCCACAAAAGAGAAAGATTTACGCATTTTATTTGGCTCCAATTTCCCTACATGTCAGTAGTGTAAACTATGCCGAATGGTGATGGTTCAAAGACCATCTATGACTTCATTTATGTTTTTTAAGGTGTGAGGTTTTCTGACAGCCATTTTCAAGTACAATCAAATATACCCTGCTTATTTCAGAAATTACATACATATAGAGCAACAACAAAACTCTTATTTTTTTAAATCAAAAACTTAAAACTTGATATATATATATATATATATATATATACATATATATATATATCCTGACAAAACAGACAAGGAGCTGAAGCAAAATACATATTCTTCCTTTCTTAACTTTTTAATTTGTGTGTCTGTTATGGTACGTGCGCCTAAGTGCAGGTGCCATGGGTTTAATCACAGGTGTCACCGGTGGTACCTGATGTGGGTGCTGGGAGCTACGATCTCAGGTCAGCTGCAAGCGCAGGACCAGTTAGTTCTACCTGCTGAGCCATCTCTCCAACCTTAAAAACATATTCTTCTTTAAGAACTTAGCAAAGCCACTCCGCACTCTTAGCATTTCTGACCCATGTAAATGCAGCTGCAATTCTAACTTACAACCACCTGTAGTGTTAATATCACAGATTCCTAATAGTTTGGAAAAACTGTGAGTTATGAATTTATTCTTATAATCTGGATTTGCACATAATATAAATCCAAGTACCTATCAAATAATGGACTCTAAAAGATAATATCCAAAACTTATTTTGATTTACCTTTATCTCTGCTACTTTTGATTTTTTCTGCCAGTCCCATACAGTAAGCATATGTTCATTGGAGTCATCAATAACGCATAAATGAATACCTGAATCCTAAATAAAAGTAAAGTTGAAGAAAAAAATGCCATTATTAAAACTACTAATAATGAAAATTTTGTTAAACTCCTTTGAGACACAACTGAATGTACTATTCATAAGAAAATTACGCTTTTTTAGAATGACAGAAATCCATTAACTTTTTTCCTGTTTTGCTGCTGGGCTGATTCCGACCTGCCAGTTAGTCACTGGTCACCATCAGATGACAGTCATTGTCTAAGGCTCTCCTAGTCCTCTCACACCATCTTATGCTTCCTTTCTGCTGTTATAAAACACTCCAGGCATTTCTTTATACAGAAGAAGTATACGCAATTCCATGTACTTTAGAGTAACGAACTTTCCATAGCTTGATAGAGTATGTTAAAATATGCTGATTTCAGTTTGTGACATACTTGGTTTATGTTAACATGAGTAAATGAGATAAGTGGAAGTGACTATTTTTCTAAAACCACCTTCCTTTGCACAGGTTACAGAAGGCTAAGAGCAGGAACTATGGATGGTGTCAAACTACTTCTAGCAGCCTCTGTGGCACACTAAGTGTCTCTGGGACAAGAGACACTAAAGTGGAGATGGAGAGCGGTGCTTGCTGTTTCTGTCTTCCCTGCCTCAATGGAAATGGTTATCTGCATTAAAGAAAGCTAAAGAGCATGGGCCATTCCAGACAGTCTTAGTATTAACAATGGAACCAAACCATGACAATAGCTCCTACCATCCATGCCTTTGTTCTGGTGTCTTCCCTGCTCCTGACCTGTCAGACTCTAGTCATTCAGTGTCTTCAAACAAGTAAAGCTGGTAAACTCAACTAAATTTTTTGCTTTACAAATGTCTCACTTTTTCATGTTCCCAAAATTCCTGTAAGTCAGAATACAGCTGCTGACAGGTAAGAACTGAAGACATAATATGAATAGCTAAATACATTCCCAAGTATAAATGAAGCTCAGTAAAATCTAGAAGGGTGCACTTGAAAACTTAAAATATGACTGTGAAAACATAAGAGGCCTCTTACATACATTATAAATGTAACTGCTAATGCAAGAAAAGGAAAATGTTCAGATGAGCAACATCTTACTTTGTTCTCACAATAAACCCTCAAAGCTTAAATGACACTGCGACACACAATTTAGTTTTAAATGTGTGTTTTACCTGCGTGTGTGCGTGTGTGCGCGTGCGCGTGTGTGTGTTTGTGTGTGTGTACCACATGACTAACTGGTATCTGCTGAGGTCAGAAGAGAGTATCAGATCTGCTTGAACTGGAGTTACAAATGGGTGTGAGCCATCCATCACATGGGTCCTGGGGACTTAACTTAGGTCCTCTACAAGAGCAGCAAGTGCTCTTGACCGCTGAGCCATTTCTCCAGCTCACTACACATAAAATTAAACTAATACTATCATCAATTCCGAACTAAGATAATTCATGGATTTTAGGGAATACTAAAATCTAACTGTTTTATTTCATGTTACATCAAAAAACATTTTATAGAAATGAAGGGTCATGTCTGAATTTACTATAAGATGGATGCCTCCTATGATTCAAATTGAAATTAAAATGCATCTTATTGCTTATTTTGAACTACCACACTATGTCTTTTTTCCTCTATCCATTTTCCACCACTACACTGGCATCTATCTCAGGACAAAGACAATGTGGTGGTTAAAAGAATGGCCCTATAGGCTCACAGATTTGAATGTTTCATTACCAGGGAGTGGCACTATTTCAAAGGATTAGGAGGTGTGGCCTTGTTGGAGGAAGTGTGTGCCACTGGGGTGGGCTTTGAGTTTCAGAAGCCCAGGCCAAACCCAGAGTCTCTTTCTTTCTCTAGCCTGCAGAACCAGATGTAGAATTCTCAGCTACCATACCTGCCTATGTGCCTCCATGCTTCTTGCCTTGTAGAATGGACTACACTTCAAGGTCCATTAATTGGGACTAAGCCCCAATTAAATGCTTTTAAAAATATAAGCTGTTGTCATGGTGTCTCTTTACAGCAATAAAACACTGACTCAGACAGACAAAATAAATGTAATATCTTGATCCTCCCTAAATCAAATTTAGTACTTAGATTACGATAGTAGCTATTTAACAATAGCTATGCTGAAAATTGCTAGCATCTCGTTTTTGGATGGACACATGACTATACACATACACAAAACAAACTCAGGCATAGCTTGCTTACTTTAAAAAAATAACTGTGACTTACTGCTTTTGAAAAATCCAGGCATCCTACTCCACGCTCAAAAGTTCCAAGTCCAATGACATGCAGTGTGGAAAGGCTTACTGAATCCCACACCCTGACATGGGGTTGCAGAGGCTGCAAAACACAAGATAGAACTAGCATATCCAGGTGGATATAGATATGTGCACCGCTCCACACAGCATATACACGTGCCCTACTCTACAGTAGATATGTATACCATTCTACATAGCATATACACGTGCACCACCACCACACAGCATATACACGTGCCCCACTCTACAGTAGATATGTATACCATTCTACATAGCATATACACGTGCACCACTCTACAGTAGACATGTATACCATTCTACACAGCATATACACGTGCACCACCACCACACAGTAGACATGTGCATCACTCCACACAGTAGACATGTATACCATTCTACATAGCATATACACGTGCCCTACTCTACAGTAGATATGTATACCATTCTACACAGCATATACACGTGCACCACCACTACACAGTAGACACGCGCATCACTCCACACAGTAGACATGTATACCATTCTACACAGCATATACACGTGCACCACCACCACACAGTAGACATGTGCATCACTCCACACAGTAGACATGTATACCATTCTACACAGCATATACACGTGCACCACTCCACACAGTAGACATGTATACCATTCTACACAGCATATACACGTGCACCACCACCGAAAGTAGATATGTGCACAACTACCACAAAGCAATTCGCTTTTTGTTTTTTTTGTTTGTTTTGAGATAAGATTTCTCTATAAAGCCCAGGCTGCCTTGGAACTCACTATGCAGGCCAGGTTGGCCTTGAACTCAAGACATTCACCTGACTTTGCCTCCTGAGTGCTGGGATTAAACATGTGCACCACCACACCCAGCCCAATTCTGTCACCTTAGTAAGACAAAAACTATAAAATTTAGACAAGCTTCCAAAATCTTCAATAGGTACTCCCTCCACACTATGGAAATAAGGAAATGAGTGACCATAGCAGCAAATAATTTGAATATTTAGTGTTGTGTGAAGTCACTTAGTCCTCTTAATCTTCAATACTTACTCTAGAGATAAGGAGACTAGAAACAGGGATTGTAACCATCTTTTACAGCTACTAGAAGGTGGAGTCAGACACTAATTCTAACATGCTCTGACTACTCTTCTTTTTTATTGACACGTGATCTTACAATTTTATCCAGGCTGATCTCAAACTCTTAACCTCAAGTGGTCCTCCTGCTTGAGGCCACCAAGAAACAGGGACCACAGGTGTGGGTAACCATCACCCCTGACACTTCACTTTTAGTATTACCTTTGTTCTTGATATAATGTACCTTTAGAAAACTAACTGCTTACTAGGTTCTATGGAAACAGTCCTGAACAGAATACAGAACTGGGAGGGATCTTCAATGCCATCTAATACAACCCTCTCACTTGTAGCTTTTCTTTATAGAAACTGAATCCAGAGAACATCATGCACATAGAGTCATCATCAATCCACAGGCTGGAGAGATGGCTCAGAGGTTAAGAAGGTTGGCTGCTCTTTCAGAGGGCCTGAGTTCAATTCCCAGCAATCACAAGGTGGCTCACAACCATCTGCAATGAGATCTGGTGCCCTCTCACTGCTGATCTCAGAAATAAGAAATGTTACATAAAGCAATCTAGTGAAACCCAAGAGTTAACTGAAACTCTAAGGTGTCAGCTGCCTTCCTAATAGAGAAAATCAAGAGGGCCATCAATCACGAGGAATTTAGTTTAACAAGCTTAACCTTTAACAAGCAGCAGTCCTTCCATTTTCACACGTAGTCAGTTTCCCTAGGGTGGATACTTACTACTTAGAAGGAAACAGTAGTTAGAATCCTACATACTAAGACCTCCTTATATTCTAATATTCCCCGCTAACACTAGAGATCCTCTCATGTAAACTTTAAGCAAATAACTAATAAGCTATGGCTAAAACGAGTCAGTCCTTCCAACAGCAGGAGTAGATGCATGAAACCAGCTGCTCACCCTTCCATCCTTGTCCACTCCAGCTATCTGTCCAGTCGCGATCCGAATCTTGTCAGGATGTACAGCCAAGCTAAAAGGCAGTATTAACAATAGTTTTAAGTACAGAAACATGAAACAGCATGAACGTACCTTTATATCGTTATTTTGTTAAGCAAATAGTTTTCAGTCTTAAAAACACACCTGGCCTATTTATTTTTATCAGTAAATTAAGAAAAGTTCTATTTTTCTTTATTAATCTTAATAAATTACAGGAACACTGGATTCTTAGCTTATTCATAATTTGATATAGTAAGAATGGAAACCATTTTCATCTGTTCAAATTCCTTTTTAGTTACTGTATTTAGGCAGACATTTTTACATGGTTTTATGAAGTATTACCCAGTATAATTTTTATCTATTAAAAAGTAAGCATAGCTTCATCTCTATACAATCCTTATATACTTACTAACTTAATTCTTTAGTATTTTAGGCGTCTCTACAAACAAAATGCAGCAGTAAATGTTTTCCAATATAATTCTAGTAACCCATGGCTAGTTCTTAATATTAAGCTTTTGTAAATCTACTCAGGGCAACAAGTTCTAAATGAAAATGGTAAATACTATAGCAACTGTATTCTAATTGACCATGGCACACAGAAGGTCAACCATAAAATTTATGTGTGTGCACTGCTGTGTAGGTGTACAAACCTGCCTGTGGAGGCCAGAGGACAATGTTGGGTGTCTTCCTCTATCTCTCACCTCCTTATTAAATATTTGCAATTTAAATTTTATTACAACTATTTATGTGTGCAAGCCTGTGCATGTATGTGTATGTTAAGTGCATGAATGCAACAGAGATCAGAGGACAACTTGTGGGAGTTGGTTTTCTCCCACCATACAGATCACATTGTCACGTTCTGTGGAAAATGCCTTTGCTGAGATATCTCAATAGCCCAACATTTATTTATTATATGTGGAAGTGTGTGCGTGCGTGCACACCACATTCACTGCTGCTCATGAACTAACTCGCTGCGTACGCCATCTTATTGTTTCAGACAGGGGGAGTCTGTCAGTGAACATGGAGATTGGTGTTTTAGCTGGACTGGCTGGAGAGCCAGCCTGAGATCTGTCGTCTGTCTCCACCCTACAGTGCTGGAGTTACAGACATGTACTGTGCCCAGCTTTTACAAGGGGTAAGGGATATTAACTCAGGGCCCTGTATTTCCACAGCAAGCTTTAAGCACTGAACCTGTTCCCCTGCCCCCCTCTAGAATCCACATATAAAAAGTACGTTTATTTACAGGGACAGAGCATAGAGATCAGAGGTAGCCTGTTGGTGTTAGTGTTCTCCTACCATGTAGGTTCTAGGGATGGGACTCAGCTTGTCAGTTTGGCTCACTGGCTAAGCCATCTTGCAATCAAGGAGTCAGTTCAGCTGGAAAGAATTTTTGTTTCCTGCTACATGTTGCTAATTATTTTCCAGAAAATTGTATTAATTTGTCACAGGAGATAAAAACATTCCAAAATTCTATAACGTCTCCATATTAAGAATTGTCTCTTGGGGCTGGAGAGATGGATGAGTGGTTAAGATCACTGGCTGCTCTTTCAGATTCTTCTAGAGAGCTCAGGTTCAATTCCCAGCACCCATATGGCAGTTCACAACTGTCAGTAAATCCAAGATCTGACACCATCACAGACATACATGCAGGCAAAATACCAATATACATTTGAAATGTTTCAATAATTTGGCATAAATGGTATCAGGTTTTCATTTCTAAGGAGGTTAGAGTTTACCAATACTTCTGCAATTTCTTTTCTTCTTAACAGTTTATAACCTGCATCTAGACGTTAAACTCAACTCTAGGGACTGGAAAGATGGCTTAGGGTTAAGAGCACTGACTGCTCTTCCAGAGGACCCAGGTTCAATTCCCAACACCCACATGGCAGCTAACAACTGTTGTTAACTCCAGCTCCAGGGGATTCAACACACTCATACATGCAGACAAAATACTAACACACATAAAATGAAAATATAAATCGTTAAAAAACTAAAACTCTATTACATTAACATTTTGCTGTATTTAACTCTGCTCTTTCTTTTCAAACAAAAATTTTAAATTTGAAAAGCTATGTGCACCAACTACCTGCACCAACTGGTAAGACCGTCTCTACCTTTCCCTTACCCCAGCCTGTGACATCACTTAAAGGTAACCACTGCAGCTTCTTTTCATTGGGAACTGTAGGGAATACTTTACATAGTGGAAGCCACAATAGTATATTGCCTGCCTGCTTTTTTGCAGTGGTTCGTCTTCCTTTCCTGTTTCTAAGCCAGGGTCTTCCTGCTGTATTAACCATGATGCTCCGACCTCCCACACTTGGTCACAAGCACCTAGCTGAGAGAGGCCAGATGCTTCTGACGGTTTCGCTGCAACACCGCACCAATTATGTGCCTGTATAATTGTGCAAGTAGCAACTGTTTTATCTGTTCTAAAGGCTGAGTATCATCGATGTACTCTCCCAGCATTCATACATGAGAGAAATTTTTATCTATTTGTCAGGACAGAATAAAGAAGCTAAGCTTTGAAATGTTGAGAAGACAATGGATTCTGGTAACAAATGACTGAATTTAAAGAATAGCAACATTCATTGAGTAAAACCCAAGCCTAAGTATTTCAAAAGCTTTGCTGTTGTAGCTTGACACCACAGGGGTTACTTAGGATCTCACTCAGCTTATGGTTTCTTCCCCTCTGAAAGGAAAACCTGAGGCCCAAAACTTATCACACAGAACAAACCTTCAATGCACACTAAGTAATGGATGAAAAACTACTTCCAGAAAGTCATGATGGATGTCCAGTCTTTCTCCACAGATTTCATATGACAGGTCAGATGGAAAGACCTACAGACCCGAGCCAGCAGAAGGATTCCACTGAGGTTGAGAGCAGTGTATTTTACCACTGTTGACTGCACACATGAAGAATGTGACCTTTTTACCTTAGGAAATATATCCCATTGAATAAATAACATCCTCACTTATATTCTAAGCTTTCAAATGGTGAACTTTCGATACAACACAAACAGTAATAATGACAGTAACAACAACAACGATCATGATGAAGGCAGGCAAGCACAAATTGACGACCAGGGATTGATACCAACCATTTTACACAGTCTGTGTGACCCAGGTAGTGTCGCTGAGTCCTCTCTTCATAATTAAACAGTACCACTATTGATGCAATGAAATAAACTATTTCCCCCGTAGGAAGCAGGTAAACATTCGCTCGACAGTCCTTCCCCCGATAACCATATCTTAAGTGAAGTGTCAAGGTTTTAAAGCAAATACTCAAGGGAGTTTAGGGAGCCATGGAGGACAAAGAGGAGAGAACTGGATCAGAGCCAGGACACTCACATGCCCTCTCCTGCCCAACCCTCAGCCTTTTATTCTGTGTCTCAATGTTCCCATTCCTTGGACGAAGTTCCTAGTATACACTACACACACAGCTCTGAACACATCGAATGTGGGGCCTGTGTGGCAGTATGCTAAGAGGACGCATACATGGAGACCCGGCTTAAGGACAAAGAGAGACCCAAGACTCACCCAGGAAGGTAACCCGAATGCTGGGCCTAAAATGATGAATAAGGTTAGTTAAGCAGTGTTTGCTGTACAGAATGGCAATAAAGACCTGAATCAAATTCTAGGACTGGTGAGCTTCTCCAAGCTAACTTAGTTCTGCCCAATGCAAGGACTTTAAAGAGTATGGGGAGGGGAGCATGGAAGAACAGAGACAGAGAACTGAGTCTACACGACTAGCCTCCTTCTGCTTCACTGAGTTTCTTAGAGGCCATAATGAATCTCTCCAGGTGGAGCCAGGAAAGCTGAATATTAAACTATCATGTGTGTCTAAGCCTGGCAGAGAAGCAGTCAATTTCAGAACTATAATCACCCTTGCTAACTGGAGTTCTTAGAATAATCCATGGTAGTCATGCGGTAGTATGTATTTGTGACACCAGCTTTTGAGAAGCTGAGTCAGGAAGACTCTTGAGATGTTAAGGCCACCCTAGGATACATGGTGAGTACAAGGTTGGGTAGGGAGACAGAGCAAGACCCCATGTCTCAAACTAACAAAAAAACAAAATAAGGTTTCATCATATGTACCATTTCATAGGTTACAAAATACCAAATCAGTGCTTAAAATTCTTAGAGCAGCCCTATAAGGCAGGTGTTCCCCCTTTTTATAAGCGTGGTGAGATTCACAGGGGCAAGGGCAGAGCTGGCATGCAGATACTATTCTTCCAGCTGCAGCTGGGAGCCCTTCCTGCTGCAGACAGAGCTCATGGGACACTGCTGTCTATCTCTATTAATTCTAGTGACACTAAATGGCCCTTAGCAAAATGATACTGTCTCCTTTTTAACTTCTCAAGTCTATTACCTTTTATTCCTGGTTTAAGGACAATTTGATTAATTAGCTAAGCAAGTTTTTATTAAACTAGGACAAATCAAGTTTGTTTTCTTGTTTGGGAAGGATACACCCACTCCAGTTTGAGCTTCTCAGGAGGCAGTTCTGATCTGATGTCGTCATAGTTGTCGACATCCGAGGGAATGAACATGGTAATTGGCCGACCTCGCATAAACATTTTAATATATTCTCCTTCTGTTGAAACATAAGACAAAAATTAAATTACATGTGTTTTCCATGTAACTGTAGGAAAGTAGATTATTGATACAATGAAAACATGACAAGCTGTTTAAGTTTTCCATTATGTTTTTGAACATATTATAGAGTATAAGTAGAAAACAAAAGAATACTATAAATATCTAGTCCAAAACAATAGAAGCAAAAAAATCATAACAAAGCAGCCATTTGTTTAGTTGAGAATAACTGTTTTCATACAAATGTAATTTAGCTGTTTAAGCTGACATATTTCTACAAGAAGCCAGAAAAGTTCAAGTAAAACAATGCAAACCTGTGTGATCAAGGGTTCTTAACTTGTAAGGAAGAGTGAAATTACTTAGGCACACAATAATCATGTCTATCACACTAATCAACCTAAAAGTCAAGACCTTGCAGAGTAAAGAGCCTCTGCACATCATGGGAACAACTGACAACATAAACACAAACCATGGAATAGGAAAACTCTCTGTGAACCATGTATGTAACATGGTGGTTAATCTCTAAACATATAATGGATGCCAGCTCAACAGGAAGAAACAAACGAAGGCAACTGCCACTAAAATGCATTTTAAAATGAGTTAAGTACTTTGAGAACATTTCAGGAGGGAGGGAGGAAGGAAATGCCAACAGGAAATTTGAAAAAACATTCAGCATCAATAGCAATAACTCAGGGAAATGTGAATGGAAACCACTGTATGACATTCCAGAAGTGTTTAGAATGATTAGCAAAACCAAACAGAGTATAGACAAGGGTATGGAAAAACAGGATCACTGTACATGCTGCTACCTGGGATGCCAAATGATGCCGCCACAGTGGAAAAGAGGGTGGAGCTCTTCAGAGACAATTCAAATAGAATTATTGCATCATTTGGCAATTCTACAACTAGATAGTTTCCAAAATAATGTAAATCAAGACCTTGATCAGATATCTAACTTTCGTGTTCACGCCAGCACTGCACTTAATAGCCCAGATGTGCAAATAACCCAACGGTTACTTACAGATAAAGCTGTGGTGTAGACAGCTAGTCAAACTTATGAACGGGGAAGTGATAGCTAACTAGGGGTTACAGGGAGAGGAAATGAGGATCTCAGGACAGTTCAGCCAAGCAAGAAGAATGAAAGCTAAGTCTATCAGACAACGTTACACTAGTCAATATTAACTAAATTACATGATTTAAGACAGCAGATCTCATGTCAAATCTTCTTATCATGGTAAACCAAAACAATGATCTTGGAATATATCATAAGAAAAAAGACTGAAACATTTTTTCAACTTAAAACGAGAGGCAGTAAGAGCTATGTATGTTACAGAGCAGTGAGCAGGGCCGCTTCTCATTCATACCTTCAAATCAGCCTCGCATCAACAACCAAATTCAACTGTAAACACTTTCAAGACAATGAGAAACAGTTTTCCTTTTTTTACTAGCACCACAGGTTCTGAAACAGCTTTTGTTTATATAAATCCGTAATTGTTTATAAGATCCTCAATAGTCTAAAACTAAAATATTTTAAAGAGACAAGTCAGAATCAAATCAATATTGATTATATATCTTTAACCAAGGGAAACAATGTTCCATGAAACAGGAGGGAGCTGGGCATGGTGGCTCATACCTGCAATCCTACCATTCAGGAAGCAGAGGCAAGAGGATCATTCACAAATGCAAGGACAACTTGGTCTATATAATTGAGTTCCAGGTCAGCTAGGATTGCATACTGAAACCCTCAAAAAAACAAAACAAAAAGCGGGAAAAAAAACCTCACAGATAGGACTGTTCATTCCCCCCAGAACAAAAAACAAAACAAACCCCCCACAAACCCCACCTATCCCTGCCCCTAGCCTCATAACATAGGTTAAGTCGCCGCTGTGAAATGGTTGCCAAAGCTAAAGGGAAGGAGAACGAGGCTGGGTGCATGGTGCATTTTGTCTGGCACAAACGAAAGTGTGATCATCACCACCCAGAAGCTGATGTGACCTTAAAATCTCTATCAATGACCCAAGCTACCTAAGAAAAATAGTGCATAATCCAGTGTTCAAGATTCAGTAGTTTATATACTATAACTATGAAGAGGAAGAGAGAGTACCTGGGGAGTGTCTACCTGTAGCCATCACTTCAGATTAAGAAGCTGTGCTTGTTATGGGCGAGAAGTTCAAGTTATTTTTATTATTATTACTCACAGTGTGCTCAGCTCAGGATTTGATCTAGCAGAGCAAGACCTCCCACACTATGCTTTACACCACATGACACATGTCAGTATCACTTCTGAACCTAGGAGTGGGCCTTGCTTCCTGATGATTTTATCATAGCTGAACTCTCACAGCAACTCAATGGTCACCAGCTACAAACATCTGCCTTCAAGAATCACCCTGACCTTGTACCTGCCTCTTGGGGGAGGGGGTGTCAATCAATCTACTGTTACAGGCATTAATCTATGATATAACTTTCTCTCTTGGTTTTTTAAAAGTAATTCATTTACATTTATTTTATGTGCATTGTTGTGAGGGTGTCAGATCCCTTGGAGCTGGAGTTACAGACAGCTGTGAGCTGCCATGTAGATGCTGGGAATTGAACTCAGGTCCTCTGGGAGAACAGCCAGTGCTTTTAACTACTGAACCATCTCTCCAGCCCCCTCTTTTGATTTTCTTTTTAGGGGGGTGGCTTTCCAGACAGGGTTTCTCTGTGTAACAGTCCTGGCTGGCCTTGGACTCACAGAGGCCCGTCTGCCTCTGCCTTCTGAGTGCTGGGACTAAAGGTGTGCGCCACCACTGCCCAGCAAGGGGAAGGTTTTTTATTGTAGATATGAGAGAAAGAAAAGCCAGAGTACACAGCAAGATAGAAGGAAGCAGACCGGAACATGACAGCGGACTGTGCACAGTCAGGGATATCTTTAGAGAGGGAAGAATAGCAGAGGATAGAGAAAGCACAGTGAGAGGAGCGAGAGCAGAGCAGAGAGAGAGAACACAGCGAGAATGCAGGGTTATAAGGAGGAGGAGGAGGAGCTGTGGGGAGGGCATGGCAGGGGAGAGGGTGAGACAGAGTAGGATGCTAGCATGGACTTTGAAATATGTTAACAGGTGCTTCATTTACCAGCATGTGCTGAGATGCTGACAGGCACCACAGGTAACCATGTGTCCCTTCTGCCAGAGATAAGCGAAATTACTCTTGTTGGTAGATGGCAGCTGGTTTCTAAGTTCCTGAGGAAGACTGGCTTTCCTCTAACCACTAGAAATCCTCCTGTGGTCCAGGCTGAGCTCAAAGAACTGCCTGTCTTTTGGAGTTTGGGGAACTGGAGTCTCATTTGGCCCTAACTTACAATCCCCCAGGCAGCTCAGAGAATGTTCTTCATGGCTGGGGATGCAGCTCAGGGCACCCAAAGCTGCAGTCACATTTAGACAAAGCGTAGAGCTTGCCTAGCATGACAGGTCTTGGGTTTGATCCCCAGCATTGCACAACAAAGAAACTAAACCAAAACTACGACTCATTTTTAGTGGGTAAGTTACAAACAGAATAGTATTGTTCTAGCTGCCACATCTGATAATAAACAGCCCTATAGGAAAACTTGATCAAGTTCTAACTGCTGCCAGCATTTTACCTTTGCTGGCTGGGACTGTAACAACATCCAGAACCAGGAAGACAGTGAGTAAAAAGGGCTTAGGTATCTGAAGCCCTAAGCCTTTCCTTACAGCTTGCCAATGTACATCCTTTCCCACTGCCAACTGCTTCCAACCAGGGCTCCTGCATTCTGTGTTTAACGGCTGACTGTGGCCTCTCAAGCTTTCCTCTTACTGTGCTGTGCCTGAAGGCACAGGGTTCTAGGTAATCCTTTCTGCTACTGTTCACCTAAATGTATCACATGTAAACAGGTTTCTTCCCATGGCAAAGCAGATGGGCTAGAACCAGTAACTATTGCAATTGGCGCATGCACACATACACACAGCAATTATATCACAAAAACAAAAACTTGGGGAAATGAAATAATCAGCTCAATGTCAGTTTCTAGACTTCAGGAACCAGAGTTTACATATCTAAGCTGCACTCCCACATGTGGATTAAAGGGTTTATTTTCTCAGTTTTAAAGACAATTCAAGTGTAACTCCTCAAAATACATTTTAACTCTTTTGCACAGGCAATTTTCTGGTGTCTGGTCTTCCAGCAAGGTCACTTAACTAGTTCTCCACAAGGCCCCCTGTCCCTACCTCCCACACTCTACACTTGTCCAACCATTTTGAATCTATTTTCTCAGACTCGGTCAGGACAGAACAAACTGTGACTGACTGAACAAGAGTCTTGACAGGTCCATTCTAGTGATTATTCTCCAGGAAGAATAAGCTAATTAAAGAGCAAAGAAATGTATTCAAACTGTATACCTAATGCTCAGTGTGGTTAACATGTAATGTCATCAGTTCCCATCCTTGGGAAACTTTTTTTGTGGGAGGGAGGGGGTTGAGACAGGGTTTCTCTGTGGCTTTGGAGGCTGTCCTGGCACTCCCTCTTGTAGACCAGGCTGGCCTTGAACTCACAGAGATCTGCCTGCCTCTGCCTCCTGAGTGCCACCACCACCCGGCCAGCTTCCTTTTTCCTCCCCCACTTCTCCCAAGCACGGGCCAGCCTGTCCGTGCCGCTCCGCTGCGACGACCACCCATGTATCGACATTACTTCACTTACATACCTGAATGACTCTGACGAGTGTGCAATACAAAGCACTCTTACAAACTGATGTGAAGTTCCCCTTTCCCTTCCAAACGTACTAAAGAAAGACAGCACTTTCTCAATTCCCCAGTGAGGACTCTGTGAGACTGGAGTGCTTCTCTAGAACATTTAGTAACAGGGCATGTCTCTGGACACAGTGTTTCCTAGTTTCAAAGGGCTTCTGTGTAAACTGTTCTGCTGTGATTACTATTCTCAGGTCAGAACACCATTCAAGGACACTGCCATTTGGCAGAAGAACCGGAACCCATGGCTGTCAATGCTCACGGCTCTTTCTGTGTACCAGTGCCTCTATTTAACAAAGTTTAGCTGGAGATACCATTGTGTATTAAATAAATTTAGTATTGTTCTTGGGTATGTCAACCATTATGTAATCTATACTATTATAATGTAAAAAGTTCAGACCTAACTGAAGAAGACTGTCGTACTGCAAATTATTTATAATTTCTGTGTAAAACCTTATGACCTAAAGAATATAACCAATAAATGCATTTTCCTTACTAGAGTAAAAGAAAATAAAAATTCACAGGAATTAAGTTAAATTGCTAACAAAAAATTTGCACACATTTTAGCCAACTAACAGACCAAAAAACAAAGATAGCTCTGACATAAGAAATGAGCTGCAAAAGCATGCACAGAGAAGGCACGGTTTCATCTAGAACAGCATGCTTCAATTAAATTTGCAAGCAATTTGAAGAGAGTGTAAAATTGACACATAAAACTTACCTACTTTGAAATTAAATTAAATATACAGAGTTATCCTGTTTTGGTCAGAACAAGCCAACAGCAAGTAGCCAGAAAGAATTAATAACAGGGAAAATTTGAAGAGGAAATGCTTTGCTAGACTCATAATGAGTCTTAGCAGCAATAAATAAAGGATTATTTGCAACCAAGTTGGCAAGACAGGAAACTGAGTTAAAAATGTATCAATCTTTTAAATGGCTTTTCTACGTATAATTTTTAGAGGAAATATACTTTTTAATTTCTTCATGTTGCTATATTTATTTTTACTGTTCATCTTAATTCTTCAGATCTCATATAAGACAGGTCTTTCTTTTTTTTTTATTTAAAGAGCAGTCACACTTACTAGTTCAAATTACTCTGGTATTTCCTTTTTTAAGAGTAGTTATGCTGAAAAGCCAAATAAGAGATCCAAGGAGAGGCGGGCTCAGGGGACGCCCACTGCAGAGCTTATCCTTACCTTGGCTGTTTTTTTCACGGGTTGACATTTTTGCTGGTTGAGACAAAAATGACATATCGTACAATAAAAACCGAGCATTTTCTCAAATGACTACAGTAATATGTCTCTTTGGTTACTATGAACTAATAAATTATACTGAATAAAATTAAGTCATGTTTTTAATGAATCAGCAATAGTTAGAATGATGTAAAAAAAAAGCAACTATTTCTAAAAAGAATTTAATTTACCTTGATTGATGATGACATCTTTGTGTCTAAAAAAAAAAAGCACAAAGAACACATTTATTTTATATGGCTTTGCACTAGAATCTCTACAAGTAAAATTCAGGAAGGGAAGTAGTATTTTTTTTTCTTCAGTTTCTCAGGGGTCTCAACTACTAATATATACTATTTTATAAAACAACAAATACCACACAAAATCATTGCAACAGTGAAAGCACACAAAAAGACTATTAATACTCAAATCTTGTAAGATCGAGGTATTGGAGAAAAAGTAACAGGAAGACAAAGCTTTTCTAAGACTTAAAAAGAATACACTGACAAGAAAAAAAATAACTGAAGTAGATTAAAATATTCAATCAGGTATGTCCTTACACACAACAGTACAAAGACACAATTATTAATTTTCATACATGACAAATAGACTTAACTTACTTGTCTGCACTTTTTATAACCTTTGATATTAGTTTTGATGTTGAAACGGTTTTCAATAATTTATTACGACTATCATCTGAATTTTCCCATGAGTTATGTGACTTTTCAGCTGTTGGTGGACGCTTTATGCTAGAAAAAACACATTAACTTCTTAGAGGAATGTTCTGAGTAACAATGACATGTAAATGACAGTTTAGTAGAAAATGAAAGACGAGATTAGCACTCTTAAAGTGAGTCCAGGCGTGAGAAGGATTAGCTGAAAGATCTGGCTGGATGAGTGGAGGAGTTAAACAAGGCAATTAGGAAGTCTGTATTACAGTGTCATTCAAAAGACCCACCAGAACAAACGTTATCTGAAAAAGAAATCTCTACGACCTACTGTTAACTGAAGAAAATGCTTACATCTCTATGTACTTTTTCTCAGTTTGTAGCTATAAAATATGAATTATAAACCTGAAATATGAACTGGGCCTTTCATTCCACATGTAATGATGTTCGTGTAGTGAATTTATACACGGCACAGATTTCTAAATAAACTGTGACGCTAAAACTGAAGCGCTTGTTTGTAGTTGTAGACTTTTATCAGGGATCAGAAATAAACAGTATGTGATACAATAAAAAGTTATTGGCGTTATCAGTGAGGACTCCCCGTATTTGTAACTGAAATCTTATGGTTTGTGAGTGACTTTCTGGCTGCATTGCTCACCGCCCTGAAACTCATCCAGTCTTCCCCACTTCAGCAACAGTGCACCCAAGAGCAACCAAGAAGGAAGCGCAAGCACATCTCCAGGACGGTAAGCTGAAAAGGAGATTCTGGGCCGCAGAGACGCCAAGTTAATCAGAACCTTAAAAAGAACATGAGCCTCCCTCCCCTTCACACAGCACCAAGTTGCATAACGTTAATAAAGCCACGCTCAAGAACTCCACAGGAGCCCAGGCAGAGGAACCACACACCCTCAGACAGCAGGAGAACTTGTGTCAGGCACAGAGACAAAGCATTCTGCAAATGGTAAACATGCATTAATCAAGTGAAGAATATTTTGGTTTTCAAATTTCCATGATAGACCTGAAGCAAAATATGAAAGTAGCTAAAGAGAAATATACTGCAAATCTTTTATGAGTGACTGTCATTCACTTTACTGAAGTTCTAACCAGTTCTGGGGATTAATAGTTTTCTCAAATTCCTCTGCAGTACTATGATTATAAAATGCTAAAGCTTGAGAAATAGGGTTTCTCTGTGTATCTCTCCCGACTGTCCTGGAACTCACTCTGTAGACCAGGCTGGCCTTGAACTCACAGAGATCTGACTGCCTCTGCCTCCCAACTGCTGGGACTAAATGCATGCGCCACTGTCGCTTATCATTCTAAATAGCCCCCAACTTCCTGCCCTCTTCAAGAAAGGGTCCTGGCTGTTCTGGACCTTGCTTTGTAGACCAGGCCTTCAACTCAGCAATCCACCTGCCTCTGCTTCACGGGATTAAAGGCGTGCACTTTTAATACCTGGTTAAATGGGTCAATTTAATTAAACTGGTATCAATATTTATTACAAGGCGGCTGCGTCAGTGAGCCCTAGCATGCAGGTCTACACTCCCAACGTAGGCTCACACACATTTGTCAGAATGTTTCTCCCCTTCTCCCCCTCTCATCATGTTAAAACATTAATTATTATGGAACAGAGAAAAGCTCTCAAGCAAGCTTTTAGTATAGAAAAGACCAGGTGGTGAAATGAATTCATTTCCATACTCAAGCAAGACTATCCTCCCAAGACCCAAAGCTGAAACTGAGGCACAGCCACAGGAACCTTTTGTTTTAAAGGGGCCTTGCAGGTTAAGGTTGTAATGATGCCAAAATGTCGTGAGGGCAATTAACATGGCAATTTCTATCCATGGCTATAAACTTACACACAACTACATAAAAATATTAAAATAGTCTACAATTTTATTATAAAAATACTGTTTGGGCTGTTTACACCTTTTTCCTTTTATCAAATTATAACTTAGCTTTTTTGACAGTTGCAATTGAAAAATTATGGTTCTAAAACACAGATTGTAACAATGAAGAAGCTTTCTCTTGGAGTCCATGGATAGCCAACACTTCCCAAGTCACAGAATTTAGGTATCCTTACAACCGGTCCCTAGCTCTGTGCTTGGGGATGGTTAGAACCTTTTGGTGGGAGCGGAGCTCTTGCTCTCTGGAGTTTGTCTGTTTATTTGGAGAGGCTGTGAAGAGGGCTGGGGAGAAGGTGATGCTCGCATTTGTGGGCTCTGATCATTAGAGTGAGATTCCTCTTTTTTTTCTCTCTGTCCTTGTGGCTTTTCTTTCTTTTTTTCTGTACCACTGTAAAATAAAGTATAACATGGAACAACACATATTTAAACAAACCTTAAAATCAAAATAATAGTGACTATAATCCAAGACTCTAAATCTTATTAACTAATACAATTTATATTATTTTTACTCAGTATGGAAAAATAATCTTTAATAAAGATTTTTTAACAATCTAAGGTAATAATCCATCCTATGAAGAGTACCCTTTTGGACAGAAGTAACCTCTAATGGACTGTGTGACTTTGGTAGATTTCAGTGGGGCTGTAGAAGCTATCTTAACTAACTTCAGCTTATCCAAATTAGAGCATGGAAGAACCTTTGCATTCCTTGTGAAGAAGCTGACAGATGACACATGAAGTGCTCATATTTAACCCAGACTAGTCCTGGGTTCCTCTGCCCCTGTCAATTGAGGTTTCTCTGTGTTGGGAGATGGGGAGGGTATTGTTTATTACAAACCTGTTAATGATAAGTTGTTAACTATAAAAGGCTGAAAAGAAAATGTAGTTCTGTGAAAACCAAGTTTCATGCTTTAGAAAGACTATAAAAACGTTGCTAAAAATGCTGTGAGGGGCTAGAGAGATGGTGCAGCTGTTAAGAGTGCCTGTTGCTCTTCTAGGACCAGGGCTCAATTCTTAGCATCTACATTGGCTGGTTTAAACCACCACTCCAGCTCCAGGGGTCTTCAATGAACCCGAACACAAATGTCATACTTACACACATATACACATAATTAAAAAACAAAACAAAACAAACAAAAACTTTAAGAGACCTGGCATGCTGGCGCACGTCTTTAATCGCAGCACTCAGGAGGCAGAGGCAGGTGAATCTCTGAGAGTCCAAGGCCAGCCTGGTCTGCAGGACAGCCAGTCAAGATTGTTTCACTGAGAAATCATGTCTTGATAAAAACAAAAGAAAATAAACAAAAACCAAAAAAATTCAAGTCAAATATTTTTTAAAATGGTATTAAATGAAGGTGAAATGATTGTTAAAGTCACAGAAAAAGGTCTGATATATTGTTTTGCCAGTTTTACATTTCTTATTATGCCTTTAACCCAAGAATTACAACGTTACTTATAGGTATATTTTATATAAGACAGTCAACAAATTTGATCAGATGAAAGGGGGAAGAGTGTCCTGACAGATGACTAAATATTGATGTGTTTTAAGTTAAAATACCTAACATGCTTATGTACAATCTTTATGACTTTGCAGCTGGACACAAGTCTCAGCTGCATCCATGAGAAGTGCTGAAAAGGAAGGACTTGAGGCTTGTATTCCAGTGTTGAAAGGGTACAAAACCATGAATGCTTTGCTCTAGAGTGCTTAAGAAAAGACATTTCAACTTTATAAGAAGGCATGTTCCAAGAATGTCTGTCACTATGTATGTATGTAAAATAAACATGTGCATGTTTATATAGTCTATACAGTTCCACTGTCACACTATAACAGTTGGAAATGTAGTAATATCTCTTAGACCCTGACACTTCTGAATCTGATTCAGTCCTGATACCTTCGCACCAACCACTGATCGCTGACTCTGGTTTTTAAAGAAGTGTGAGCTAGGAAACATATCCTTACCAGCAAATAGTGGATTAAACCTTAAAATGAGAAAGCTGGGCCTGGAGATGGTCAGCGGGTAACGTGCTCGCTGTGCTAAGTGTGAGGATCTGAGTTTGCATCTCCAGCTCCCACGTAAAAGGCAAGCATGGCAGTATTCACTGGGAACTGGGCACCTGAGGTGGGGTGAGGGGTGGAGACAGGACTCCAGCACTGGAGGTGGGGGGCAGGGACGCATGGATTCCCAGGTGCTTGGGAACCATCCAATCTAGGCAAAATTGCGAAGTACAGGTTCAGTGAGGTCTCAAAAACTAAGGTAAGCAATGATGACTGTCCAACATCAACCTGTGGCTTCCACAGATACGTGTGTATATACACATTCATATACCACACAAAAAAGGAAGGAGGGAGAGGCAGAGGGCCTAAGTTAGATATCACTTCTTTTGTATTGGTCTTCAAACTATCCTTTATCCTTAAAAGCAATCTTCCTTTTTGGGTTACTTAAAAGCAAAATCTAGTACCCCTGAACAGTAAAGGAATAAAACCAAGTTTGGGTCCTAGATCACCCTTTCCCCTATCATGCTGATCACTACAATGCAACAGTACAGCAGCTAGCTAACAAAACCAGCTAAAAACTAAACTGTTACTGAATGAAAAATGGATGTTTAGTAAAAATTCTATAATAAGGGCTGGAGAGATGGCTCAGCAGTTAAGAGCCCTTGCTACTCTTTCCCAAGACCCAGGTTTGGTTCTCAGCACCCACATGGCAGCTCACAATTACCAGCAACTCCAGTCCAGGGACCCCAAATCCTCTTCTAGTGGGCACTGCATGATGTTTTCACCAGAGGGCAAAACATACCGATGAAACAAACATTAGACAATCTTGAATAATAATATTATAAAATTCAACTACGAATGTTTTAGTACAATGTTTTCTCCTGAAAATGAAGCAGAGATAATTTTAGCACACTCTGAAAGGAAAAAACATCTAGATTCAGTAATGACATTAGGTTCTGGAAGGAATTTTTAAAGAACTGAAGGTCTTGTTATTTCTCCATCCTTGTAGCCGTCTGCTTGGTTAAACACCTGTAATTCCACACTGTGAACCCCAATCAGTGGCATTAGCTTGCTGAAGCAAACACTTCTTTCTGTCAGCATACATCCTTCTGCTTTTTAAACATCTCCCTCATGCACTATCAAACAACAAGACTGCTCTGTGCAGGTGGGAAAATGTCATTTCAGCCGGTCACTGGGACAGTGAATTACACTGAGTTAAATGAGAACGAGCCAATGGGATTCAGATCTCCAATGCCCTGGAATGTTTATAATGCAGGAACATCCTCCTGCCTCTACCACCAGCACTGGACATGTGGACGGCCACATGCCACTACTAAAATACTTTGAAGAGAACCTCAGTTTTCTGATTTTTTTTTTTTGCTAAAGAAAGTTATAATAGCCTTTAACCCCCCACTAAGGTAGATATAAAGTATCTATTTTGCCTTTAAAATTTATCAAATGTGTCACCTGCTTAGGAATATCTACATATATAATTTCATTAAATGTATCAACGTATTCTTGCTGAAAAACAAAACAACAATAACAAGATTCTAGGGCATGAAAAGGCTCTGTCTCCTCACTAAAAAATCAACAGAATGATATTGTGAGCACAATGGACTGAGGCCAGGTGTCTCACCACAATTAAAGAACTTAAGACACGAGCTCCCAACTACCATCTGGCTCTGTGTGTAACACTTTCATGAGGAGCCCAATCCTCCACGCACGGCTGTGCCCTGTCAGCCCCCCCCCCCCATGACAGTCAGGTACCTCTTAGCAGCAGATGAAAGAGTTTCTTTTCTTGCTATTGATACAGAGCTGGCATGACTCTGTTTCCTGCTTATACCACTTCCATTGGTTATACAGGACATGGAAATAGCTTCTCGAAGGCTTGGTTGGCCTAAGGTAGTTAGAAAAAAAAAAGTAACAAATTACAAAATATTTCTTAAAGAGCAGTTTTAAGAATTAATTCTATTAGTGTTTAGGAATGTTGAGCAGGTGGCCCCACCTGAAACTTCAGCAAATGGCATGACTGTCTTGACATTTAATGCCATCAACACAGACCAACAGGAAAGCTACACTGAGCTGCTGGGATGCTACACCCACTCACCCACCTACATGACAGCTCTGAAGCTCATGACTCAACCATATATTTCAAATGTCTAATATTACAAACATCAAATTTTAGAGTGCTATTCTACATAAATAAAGTTTAATTATGTAAAACCTTAACTTCACAGTAAAAGGAATGGAATCAAGGTCTGACTGGTAGGCAGGTAGGCAGGTAGGCAGCTGTGGTCAGCAACAGTCAAAACCTCGGAGTAAACAGGACAACTTACTAGGAATCAAGTTTATTTGAAGATTGGGAATAGAGTACAAGCTATGGACTCAAGCAAAAAAGACAATCTCATGCTGGTTTTCCTTTCCAAAACATAATTTTGACAGGTCCTGTGACTACCTTCCATTATAACTACCTAAGAGGCATTCTTAATACAGTGTCCCATATCCTACCACAGATGGATGAGCCAGAAGAGAGGAAAAGGCAGAGAGAAGCTGCATTTTTTAAAAATTTCTCAAGAAGGTACTTGCATAAGAGAAATACCCCCTTCAAATTAAAATTTTTGCTATAAAATCTAGCACTAGTATGCCACACAGGTGACTTCCTGCATTGATGATTTTTGTTTGTTTTTCGAGATAGGGTTCCTCTATGTAGCTTTGGAGGCTGTCCTGGAACTCACTCTGTAGGCCAGGTTCCTGCCTCTGCCTCCCAAGTGCTGGGATTACAGGCATGAGCTACCAACATTCAGTATATTGATTATTTTTTTAAACTGTCATGATGAAATACTTTAAAATGTTCAAGTCAGCAGCGTTTACCATGCATGCGATGTGTGGCCAAGGGAAGGCAGAGGTGCAAGGAGGAAGAACTCTATCTGAGGTTCTCTGTCAGGGGTGCACTAACTCCAAACGCCTCTTCCAATTTCTAATTCTCTTCCCCACCAAGCTCTAGACACCCTTTCTTAGTCCAATGACTTTATCCTTTAAGAGGACAATGTACCCCCATCACATTCTGTCTTCTCTATCTCCAATTATCGTGCAATATTTTCCCTTTCCTCTTGTCTCAACTTGTAGCCATTGTTTTCAAAAGTAGAAATGACAAGGGAAGTGTCAGACTCTGGCATAGGAGCAGCCCCTTTTGCCTGGTCTGAGATAACAGCCACCACCATACTTCTAGACACACAAGTATCGGAGATGTGACCTGCATACGGAGGAATTAGCCTCCTCATCCTCTGACACAATTGTCACTGATTTTATTTTAATGCTCTCATTAAAGGGAGTCACGCCTTTTCAACTTGAGTAACATAATTTACCCACTAACACCCATGAGTACCCTTACCATCTCCTATGTAATTCAGGATAGGAACTAAATGACAATGCCTGTGCCTTTACAATATCACAAATTGTACATAATAAGGACTGAATTTCTATTATATTCCATTATTTTCTCTGGATTCTTTCATTTCTCAAGTGATGACTACATGAAAAACTGCTACCTTTAGATAAACTGGGCTTTTACTTGTAAAGCATTCTGTACTAGTAGTGCTGCTGAGCTACATTCTCAGATAATATTCACTTGGTCACCCCCTCTCCTCAAGGGGTCCTAATGGGCTTCCCAGGGACCAGCTATGGCATAATTTGTCTTCCTGGCAGCTAAAATTGTCCAAGTGTTCTCTAGACTTTCCTTTATGCTCCAAAGCACAGGTAATTTTCTTTTGGCAAGGATCCAGTTCTAACTGTTATTAAGTTATGAACATATGCTGTCAAAAGGAAGGAATTCTCTGATAGAGAAGGTATACGAGACACTGGCCACCTTAAAAAACTGGTGGGAAAACTTCCTATCTAGGTAAAGTGTCTGACAAAAGATACAGAAAAATAAGGGCTAATTTTTTAAGTACATGGAATGAGATAAACTAAAAGAAAAGAACCAAAGATACTGCAGCAACTAGTTAAATGTGCTTCTGATTTGGGCATTTAAGTGATAGTAGAATTTCACCAAGCCATTTAGACATACATACATACATCATTAATATTTACTGTGAGCCATACTTGAAGCCAAATTATGTTCACCATATTGTTACCATCTGCCCACACTGAGTAACAGTTGTCCTCAGCAGTAGTTACAGTAGTTAACCAATGTCATAAAGGCTCTTCCCCTGCTCATCCAGAGGGTTCACCTGATCTCTAAGGGAAAGGCATCTTTAAAAAGAACAGTGCAGACGATGAGTGTGCACTGACCTGTCAATAATTTATGGAGGGTGAATACAGAAGCACTCGGGACCTGGGAGCCTTTCCGCTCAAAGCTGAAACCAAAGTCTGCATGTGCTCAAGTCTCCTGCATTAGCTGCCCGATAATCTATGTACATCATTTTGCGTGTTTTAAATAATTCCTACATTATTTAAAATGTTCAACATAGTGTAGGTAAGTACAGATTATACTCTATTGTCCAAGGGAGTGATACATAAAAATCTACAGCTGTTTAAGCATGCCCTGAATGTTTCTGATTATGGCTGGTTGAATCTACAGATGTAAAATATATAGATACAGTATTGACTGTACTTAATTCTAATTTAAAAGGAAACTAAGAACTTAACATAGTGGAGTTTTCCACAGTACAATAAGTAATTTCACTTTTATTTAAAGTTTAACTGTATTTTAACAGGTGTTTTATGAAAAATTAATTTGAAAACATCTTGTTTAAAATATTTATTCTGATTTTATATCACTAATATATTAATTCTAATTAAAAACTGATACCTGATTTTAGATTATTTGATAGTATAATATATACAAATCCCAAGAGAAATATAAACCTGTTTAAGAGTTTTCAATAGCAAAACTAAGAAAAATTTATATCTCTCCATGTCTTATTATCAGAATTGGAAAATGTAATTAGACAAAATCTCCACTAACAAGAAATAAGTGATTAATCTTAATGAACTATGTCCATCCATGAAAGTTTTTTCAACCAAGTAACCCAAACAATAATCAATGAAACGAATCTCATTTTATAATGTAACTACCCTAGCTGCAAAGCACTGGGATTTATTTTAAAACCTGTTTTCCTTTACTTGTATGTGTATAGGTGTTTCGTCTGCATGCTTGTTCACGCGTCACTTGCATGTAGTGGCTGTGGGGGCCAGAAGAGGGCGCTGGATCCTATGAGATTGGAATTACAGATGAACTGCCATGAAGGTGCTGACAATCTATCCTGGTCGTCTGGAAGAGCAGCCAATATTTTTAATGCTGAGCTATCTCTATAACCCCTACCTATTATCTTTTAGTCCTTTTAAATTGATTTCTTGGTATTTTGTTAGAGAAATAAAAAAATGATTAAAATGCATGTGTGTATTAACATGTGTGCATCTTATACATCCACACAAACTACATCCACAGAATTGAATATTCAGTCATTTAAAAAATCTTTTCATTTATAATAACATGTATAGAACCTGAAGGAGGACAGAATGTTAACTGAGACCAGTATGCATAGAAAGAAAATAGGACATGTTCTCACAGGCATGTGGAAACTAAAAGCTGATTTCAAAGTAGAACATAGTGCTTGGAAGAGTATGTGATAGGGAAAAGATGGTTAATAGGCACAGGGATGAAGACGGATAGGAAAAAATGACATTAACAGTCTATACAGCATAGGAGGATAACTATGGTTGAAAAAATTGTTTCTATACTTTAAAACAGTTTCTAGAGAGAATTGTGAATGTTTCTAACACAATAAGTAAGAAATGTCTGAGGTGACAGGCCAATTACCTTTACCTGGTCATTCTACATTATACACATGCATGAAATGCTACAATGTACCCCAGAAATAGTCCAATTATTACATGACAGTTAAAAACAAAAGCACACAGTTAAAGCACTGGGACAACAAGGAAGCATGCTTTTCACTGCAGGTTAACATATACATACAGACACATAGTTAAAGCACTGCAACAAGGAAACAACTATTTTAATCATGTTTCTGTAATAAGGAGATTAAATGCCTAGCTATAGTTGGGTCAGGAGGTGCAAAAAGATTCAGTCCTTGCCCTTAGCAAAATTTATTATATAGTTAGAAATATTATGGTGGGAAAAACCTGTAAGTGAAGTATTATAGAGTTCTCAATTAAAATAATGAGTAAACTTTCAGAATTTGGGGAAATAAAGAGAAACCTACTATAATCAAACAGGCCAATAGTTTTATATTTCAATTTTCAAAAGAAAAAGAAAATCCAAGATTCTTGTTTACAACAATCTTACCTTTATTTGGCACAGACTTTTTCACTGAGGCTACATGATCCTCAGAGATCGCAAGACGCCTCAAAACATCAGCCAAAGCTGCCTTTAGCACAGTGATTTCATCTTCCTGTTGTTGAACTCGTGACTCGAGAGCTGAGAGGCGATCCTGCACATCAGAAGTACTTGCAGCAGAAATACTATCATCTAAAAAAGAAAATATTGACCATTTTAAAACCTGACTGCCTGAGAAAGGACTTCCTTCTAGTGAGGAAACTATACCAAATCAGTTTTTTTTAAGACAAACAAAAAATAATTTTACCATGTTTACAAGAGCAACTTCTATAAGGATATTTTTCAAGTTATTAAAATGATGGGATCTTCCCATGGTTATCCCTCCCCCATACCACCTTAGTTTTCTTATTAAATGTTCCTACATACATCACTTTGGAGACATATGAAGTTTTCACGAGAGCAAACTACCCAGGTTTCCCTTTTAATAACATTGTGGTGTTTAGGAAAAGATGGCAAGCCATGCTCCCCCACTGACTAGAAGGCCCCTTCCCTTGTCTTCCCTCTCACACTCTTCTAACACCAATAAAAAGCAACACTGTCATGAACTCAAACTAAAGAATTTTTGCTGTTCTCCCTTCTTCCAACAGTCCAATGTCTTTTTTAAAGAGTAAAGGCTGGGTGTGGCGGCACATACCTGCCATGTCTGTACTCCAGAGGCAGTAGGATTGGCTCTGGCAGGCTCCAAGCAAGCCTGGGCTGTATCATAAAAGACTATCAAAAACAAAGCAGTGTGCCAACAGGATGATACAGCAGGTAAAGATGCTGCCAGCCTGAGTTTGATCACTGGGACCCACATAGTAGAAAGAAAGAACCAACTTCCACAAATAGCAATAATACTAATAACAATGAATCAAAACCAATAAAGAAAAATAAAAGATGATGATATAAAGCTGCTGCCTAACATGTTAGGTATATAACAACAAGGACTATTTTAAGACTATAGTTAAGTTTTCACTACATCATTAAATGCTTCCAAAGCTATTTTAGAATCTACTGTTTGCTGGGTCAATTAGAATAAAAATGTACAGCTCTGGGTGGCTAGGGACGAGAAGATGAGAGATCAGGTTGACGGGGAGCAGAGGGGGTGGGGGAGAGCACTAAAAGAGACGACTGGAAAAGGGGACATTTTAGGGTCAGGTAAAAACCTGGTGCAAGGGACTCTCCCAGGACTCTCTACAAGGATGACCTCCGCTAAGACTCCTAGCAATAGTGAATACACAGCCATCTCCTGTGACCAGACAAGACTTCAAGTAGAGTGAGTAGGATATCTGACCTATGGGGTGTCTAAGGTTGGCTTAGAGATTGAAGGCATGTCCAATCAATGACTGATTTAGCCTAAAGCCCATGCCAAGAGATCAACCCCACCCCTGACAATGCCTGGAATACCAGGACCCACAGGCTGGATGACCCAGAGACCTAGGATAGAAGCAAACGTGACTGGCGTGAAGAAAAAGTCAATGTAATGATGCCTAACGATATTCTGTTACACTCATAGATTGGTGCCTAACCCAATTGTCATCAGAGACTTCATGCAGCAACTGATGGAAACAGATGCAGACCCACAGTGAAACATTAGGTGGAGCTCAGGGAGAAGAGGAGGAGAAAGGATCGTAGGAGCCAGAGGGGTCAAGGACATCACAAGAATGCCCATAGAATCAACTAATCTGGGCTCATAGGGGCTCACAGAGACTGACCCAACAACCAGGGAGCCTGCAGGGGACTGATCTAGGCTCTCTGCATGTATGTTACAGTTGTGTGTCTTGGCCCTCTTGTGGGATTCCTTACAGTGGAACAGGGGCTGTCTCTGACCCTTTTACTGGCTTTTGGGACCCTACTCCTCATACTGGGTCACCTTGTCCAGCCTTAATAGAAGTGGAGGTGCTTAGTCTTACTGCAACTTTGATATGCCATGTTCTGTTGATACTCATTGAAGACCTACCCTTTCCTAAACAGAAAGAGGAGGAGTGGGGGGGGGGCACATGAGAACAAAGGGGTGGGGAGGACTGGGAGGAGAGGAGGGTGAGGAAACTGGCCAGGATGTAGAATAAATTAATTAAAAACATACAGCTGTATAGAAAGATCAAGTGCTATTGGTTAATTGTCTATAAGCAGAAAAATGCTGGGGAGAAATACTGACTTAATAGATACCCTTGGCCTACTTCTTAGATCAGTACAATGTAAGGTCAGTCATATTAGACACTAAGGCAGAGTGTGCCGTTTTCCTCAAGCTGAAACAGTCAATTCCTAGTCTGAGTTAACACACTGACACAATCTCCTCAGCATTTTCAAACCAAACCTATGGAAGAGGCAACATCCACACTGAGGCCATACGTGCCACCCGACCTCCCAGAAGGCAGACAGATATGCTCCTTTCTGCTTTTAGTGGGATTTCAGTGGCAATCAGACAAGTAACAGTGTTGAAAGAAAAGCTGGGTTTGTCTTTAACTTGAACTTCAAGTCCTGGCTCTATAATAATTAATTACATTATCTTAGACAAGTGATTGTAGCTCTTTGAACCCTAATTATTTATCTTTAAAGGAGGAAAGTATAAGGGACACAACGAACAAAGGGAAGAATCCAGAGCCTTGCACGTCTGCTACATGAAAAAAGCAGGAATGTCAAAACCTGAGATGGTTTAACAAATGGCTGGTAAGAATAATGCACTCTCTCATCTTACGACTCTTTTGTACTTTTTAAAGTTTTTTATCAACACTAACATGCATAATAATGGGTTCTGTTGAAACATTTTCAGACAGTACAGAATGTATTTTGAGCACATCTGTGCCACCACAGCCCTCCAGCCCCCGCTGATCCTCTTCCTCTTCCAGCGTGTGCGCACACTGAGTCAAGTGAGCTTCATTAGGGTTAGCCACAGAAGTATTTACCGTTCCATGGGTGCCATAAAACTTTATTTCTATGTGTAAGTGTGAAATTTACACACACACACAGTTCTGTGTATGCGGTGTGCTAGTTTGTGTGGGTGCAGGCATACTCATCCATGCCCCTGCGTATGTATAGGCCTGAGGCTCACTGAAGTCTCTTCGTCTACCATTCTGCACCTTCATTTCTGTTTCTCAGACTGACCTGCAACACTGGGCTCACTCATGTGCACCACTGTGCCTGGCCTTCACGCGGATTCTTGTGTTACAGAGTCTCCCTTGCTCCGAGCACCTTTATGCTACCTTTCCTTTGCATTCGGGCTGGCCCATGCTACTTGCAACTGTGCAAGTTCAGTCACTATTTCTTCTGCCTTGAAGAAACAGGGTGTGGGTCGGGGAGAAACAGCAGTATCTCTTCTCTCCTTTTAGGTCTTGTTAGTTCTGGTGTCTCACCCTTCCATGTTAATAGGTTGAACTGTATGAGACGGCTTTTTGAGTTGGTATAAAAACTGACTACTAGTAATTTCGTAAGGTTCAATTTACACTGGACAGTGTAGAAATGGTGATTAGACACCAGGTCAGAGAGAGACAGAGGTACACAGCATGGTTCATCAACACTCCAAGGAGTTTCTTAAGATTGTCAGTAATAAAGCAACTACTCTAGCGCCAGTTTTGAATTCTTAAGGTATGGACAACCAATTCTAGGAGCCAGTCTTATTATTTCTGTCGGTTAATTATGTGGCCTAATAAATCTAGTTTTTGCAAGCCACCACTTGTAAGTCAAACATTCTAATTAAGTCAGTAAACTATATAGCTATTACCTTCTAAACTGCTTTCAAATTATGAAGGTTAAGCTGTAAGCTTAAGTCATAAACACATAATCTGTTTGGTGCCTTTGGGAATGCAGCAGGGCTTAGAGCAAGTGTCACACTAACATAATTCACCCACCTGGGGTTCACACCAAGTTGGTACTTTATACTGGAGTGTCACTTGTCTTTCATCCATCCATTTTTTTTAATGGCTAAAGTTTTTTTTATTATTTTATGAATGTTGGATAGTTACATAAAATGTAATTCCACCTGTCAAGATCTTATCAAACTTGATAGGTCCTATGACAGACACAACAACAATTTTTCAAAGGCATAATAAGCGCCAAGTTAACAATTAAGAATATCTTTTTTTTTTCTTTTTTTTTTTAATTTTTTTGGTTTTTCGAGACAGGGTTTCTCTGTGGCTTTGGAGGCTGTCCTGGAACTAGCTCCTGTAGACCAGGCTGGAACTCAGAGAGATCAGCCTGCCTCTGCCTCCCAAGTGCTGGGATTAAAGGCATGTACCACCACTGCCCACCTTTAAGAATATCATATTTTGTGCTGTATTTTTCATATTAACTACCTCATTCCTTTCCTTGTACTGCCTATATTTTATATTGAAGGAAAAAACTGAAGATACTAAATAGCTTGTCCAAGACACCAAGCTACTCTCTGAGACTAAAAGCATAAGCCTGACTCCAAAGTTAAATGCCCTTTATTTTATTTTACACTCCATCCTAATAATAATCACATGAAGACCAGATAAACAGATCCTCTTACAAAGTTAGAAGGGTTTAAAACTACTGAATGATATATAAACAGCATTTTTGTTTTAAACAAACTGTTGGTCTTTATCAGTCATTAATTATTAGTTTATCGGTTATTAGTTATTAATGAACCATCTTTCACTCCAGTTTGGATGAACAATAAAAGGACGCTCTAACTAAGGAAGACACAAATGAGGACTGAAGCGAACCTGCAGTTCTTTTCAGCTCTGTTCAGTTTCTTCTTGTCTGAAATCTTTGAGCTAGGGAGATAATTTAGTGGATAAGGCACATGAGTACAACCTTGGGAGACCTGACTTTGGACCTGCAGAACCAAGTTAAACACCAGATATGGGAAGATGCAAGACACGAACAAGAGATCTGCAAAAGCCTGAGGGCCAGATAGCCTGGCTTAAACAGTGGCAAACAAGAGAACCTGCTTCAAGTAAAAGGCGAGACAAGGATGAACTCCACTCACTCATTCTCTCTCAGGAATTTCAACAAAACCTGGTGTTAAACTGACTGGGTAAATATGTTTATTTATCAGCTCTGTGAGTGGTTTCCTCAAAGTAATTTCATCATGCTAATCAGCACTAACATAAAGCTTGGGAAGACTAGATGAATAATGAGTACTGTCATATAACAAGGATTTGGTCGGTGATGCTCTTGACTTCCCTGTT